CCAAGACTCGAATAGCAAGATTACATAAACTTCTGTTATATTCAGTTTAGTAACCTTAGAAGGCTCATTAAAAACCAAATCAATGCTGCATATTCTGCGTACATCCAATTGGTTGAGGATGCCATTGCCACATATCCTATTAAATCCTGGTCATTCGTTCATATTAAAAAACAGCAATCTAGAATTCCATCTAGAATAACCCTTAACGGCAATGTCTCCGATACTCCTCAGGATATCATAGACAGTTTTGCTGTTTTTTTTCATCATTTTTTATACACTCTAATCCACGAAGGAACTTATCTTCAACAACTAAATCCAATAGTACAATTTCTCTCAATTATACGTGAAGACGATGTTATCATGGTTTCGAAAAGATTAAAGAACAAAATGACATCTGGATGTGATGGTATCCCAAGTGTTCAGTATTTAACCTAATTCTTAAATTAGGGACATACCCAGATATCTGGAAGACCACTAAAATATTCCCCATTCATAAGAGTGGTGATATCGGTAAGTTGTTTGAGATCATAGTTTATAATACGGTTTACTGGTCGATCAAGGGTGCAATCTCTGTCAATCAGCATGAGCGGCAGATCTACGGTTACCAACTTGACCCTGATTACTCAGTATATCTCCCAAGTATTAGACACTCGGGGGCAAGTTGATGTAATCTATATATATATATATATATATTCAGAAGGCATTTGATCAAGTTGATCATTATGTACTTCTGGAGTTCATACTTGATGGACAGAAGGTTGTTTGTTGAATATGGTGGTTATAGGTCGAGTTATTATCAGGCCACATCTGGGGTGCCTCAGTGATCAAATCTAGGCCCATTATTGTTCCAGATCTTTATTAACGATTTGTCTCTTGAGCTCAAGTGTTTGCATCTGTTTTTTGCTGACGACGTTAAGATTTACGCATCGGTCGAGTCAACTGATGATTGTCTCTTGCTGCAGGATAATTTTGACTTAATTTCTTCCTGGTGCTTGCGAAACTGTCTTAGTTTAAATGTTTCTAAATGTAAAGTTGTGTCTTATACAACAAAGACTAATTATTTAATATATGATGATTATAACGTCAACGGTCAGGTTCTTGACAGATGCTTTCTCTTTTAAGGACCTTGGAGAAACCTTTGATAGCAGGCTAATGTTTTGCGAACATATACTTAATATCTCATCGGCTGCCACCAGACTTCTTGGCTCCGGTATCAGAAACTGGAAGGGGTTCTCCAATGTCAGCACTTTAATGACTTTATTCGTTACTTTTGTCAGAAGCAAGCTAGAATATGCAACCCTGATCTGGTCTCCAATATACCTACATTCAGTTTCAATGATTGAAGGCATTCAACGTAAGGCTATTAAGTATTTTTATCTGAAATGTCCTGGTTCTTATCCAGAAAGAGGTTTTAGTCATCATACCCTTTTGATTTTTTTCGATTTAGATTCACTATCAATTAGACGTAATATGTTTGCCTTATCGTTTTTATAAAAATATATTTCCGTATTCCAACGCATGAAAGTCGTCAACAATCAGCCTTTTATTGTCAAGCAGGCCGGACGAACGTAACGTTGAAATCTCCAGTTTATGTAATGTGCAGTCTAATGAACTGTATTTGTGATCTGTGTGATAAATTGCTATAAGTCATAGACTGTTCTCTAAGCTTACTTAGGCTAATTGACGGTAAGTTTAAGTTTTCAATGTGTCTTTATTTTCTGTTTGTTATTGTATTTGAGCTTTTCCTGTAATTGGGTTTTACCTGTAGAAAATATGAAATATAAATAAATAAATAAATATAAACACGTACAGCTACAGAACAAGTACACAAGAAGTGTACAACAGCTAGTGCTAAGTTGATGTAGGAAAACCTGCATAATTTCACAAAAAAACTATATAAATAAAGCCGGCATAATGTGACTTTTTAAGAGACGTACTTTTTTACAATTAATCCCCTCCCGCATATATTCTGAAGATCATTTAATGCCTGGAGAATTAGGATGATCTGGTTCGCCTAACTCAGCATACTTTGAAGTAGCCTGATAATCATCAATTTCCATTTAACTCCATACCTCTGCTAATACATTTCCGCTAGACTCGAAATTTTATCTTCCTAAATGTTCATTTTCATTCAATCAGACCCAAAACGGTCATTTGGCAGTATCAAACCAGACAGTTCCCGATTAAAGGCCATATCGTCAATCATTCCTACAATTAGGACGCCTTTATGTCCTCCTTGATTTTCATAGTTTTCTACTGTTCGTGTCAGCGCTCTATTTTGAGGTTATGTTACAAATATCTATTTGCATCAAATTGTTCATGCTTTTAATTTATATCAGCCTGAAATTTCCTACAATTCAAAAATAAAACATAGCCTCACAATAGGAGAGCATTGACACGGACGGAACAGTATAAAATCTAGAAATATACTAGACTTTCTGAAGGAGAGAAAAGGTTATGAAAATTAAGAATGCCATAAAGGCGTCCTACAAATTGTAGATACGACTGACGATACGGCCCTTAGGGTTCTTGGTTATTCATTGCGATAATCGCATTACTACGAGGAACATTTATAGCTAAGCACCCTGCTCGTATATGTGTTCAAATCAAAATCGACTGATTTTGTAGAGAATCGGGAAAGGTAAAAAAATAAATATTGCCGACGTAGCCCTCCCCCATCTCTCGTGTCACCAAAAATAAGCAAAGCGAAGACCTCCGCCCCCCATTAGTACTTACGTAATCTTTGGTCGCTCTCCTGCTGTCTGGGCACAGCGCCTAATTGGTCTGCTCGTACTCTGGCGGTGATTCGGTGGGCGCTGTCGCGTCAGATGATATGGGAAGGAGCAACATTGCCGGATGGACAAGAACTACCGGTGGGGAAGGGTAGGAAGGGCTTTGGACTAATCGTGTGGTTTGATTGACTTACTTACGTGTGCGTAACTAATTTTTTCTCTGAAGGTTTAACTTTCGCTGAAGTTCATTATTATTATTAGCACTATAACTGTGCGCAGAAAAGTCCGATGACACTGTGTTGAAAAGTCTTTTTTATGCAAGAAACATGCTGCTCCGTCTTTTAGTTGCTTATACAGCTTATTCTTGAATACATTGACAGTTGTTGCACCTTGTGTTTCTTCAATAAGAAAGTTCCACGCGTGTCTCACACGATTAAAAATGAAATTTCTCTTCGGAAATTAAGATTCTGACTATTCTGAATATTTGGACCGTACATGAGTAGCAGCCACTGATGATCTTGAATGTCTGAATCAGGCCTCCTCGTAATCTTTGCTCAGCGAGTGTGGTCATATTCATAGCCCTTAGACGTTGTTCATATGTCGAATCTCTGGTGAAATACGGGTGATGTTTCGTTGCAATCTCTCCAGTATTTCCATGTCCTTGACAAAATATGGACTCCATGCGCTGTGTGCATCTTCAAGTTTTTGTCGAATGTACATCTTGTATTGTGAGCTTCCTATTTAAAGGTATGTGTTATTATATAGTAACTTACAGGTCTTTCTGGTACTGTACATTTTCAATTCCTATCTTCTATCATTTAAAAACTGATGGCGTTCCATGGGAAGTGCAGTATCCACCTACTCGGCGCCTTTTTTTGATGTTCTAAAACTTTTATTAAAACCATAGACATCAAGTTTTTTTTAACGCATAATGGTAAGTTGCTTCTCTGCATTCTCTTAGACATGAATTAGATGTTTTTCTATTTATTGTGTTACAGTAGCGAAAAAAGTTTGGAAACAAATATTAACATTATAATGAACTATTTTATATACCTAAATCAAAATTGTGAAGGAACAGATAATATAAATATTAAAGTCTACCTTTGGCTCAAGTACTAATACAAGATTTATCTTGGCAATATTCAAATTCTCTGAAAATAAAAACACGCGTTAAATATCAGAGTCTTTGTAACGACAGAAGTATGGAAACATTACAGTTTTGCCATATCTATTCGTTCTGCTATACTCTGATATTGCGTGCGGTAAATATTAACATCAGTGAGAATGGCAAAAGTAAAAGAATTTTCAAAATATTTAAAAGACAGTGATTAAATTATTCAGAAGTGGTGTCAGAAATGTTGACATTTCTCAAAGATTAAAAATGAACAAAGGGACGATTTCGAAAATTATTAGTAACTATCAAGAATATGGATTAAAAGCAACGCGGCCAATGGAATACTTTTTTACGGAGCCATTAAAGCAAATTTTTGGATCTGACGGTACGGCATAGACGTCCAAGACCAAAAAGATTCGGCAAAAAGTATCAGTTTCCAACAGTTAAGCACGGTGGAGGCAACAGCATGGTTTGGGGCTGTTTTTCTAGTTGGAACGGGTCCAATTGTTAGAATTGTTAAGAAAATGGATCAAAAACTTACAAAGATATTCTTAGCGAACACATGCTCCCTTTTGCTGATGAAGAAATGCCTTTACGGTGGATATTCCAGCAAGATAATGACCCCAAGCATACCTCAAAATTCGTAAAGGACTGGTTAAGACTAAAAAATGTTAATGCTCTTACATGGCCTTCGCAATCCCCGGTTCTAAACCCTATAGAGAACATATCTGGGAGCATGTTAAAAGACAACTAGCAAGAAAAACTTTTAAAAATAGAAACGATTCATTTGATTGTGTAAAAAATATTTGGCAAAATATCCCAACAGACGTCTGTAACAAATTGGTGTCTTTTGTGAGCAGCAGATGTCAGGCAGTGTTGACTATGCTACGAAATATTAGCTAAACATTATTTTTAAATCTTTGTGTAGAGTTATTGTATTTAATTTTGTAATAAAAAATATGTTTCCATACTTTTGTCGTCTTATTTTTCGACATAAAATAATATGAAGGTATTTTAATGCTAGTCTGTAGTACCACATCAAACACAAATTGTCATTTGTATCCTCAAGACTGTATGAGAAAATAGTCCTTAATAATGAAGAATAAAAAATTGGCGCACTTTTTAAAAATTACGAAGTATGTTTCCAAACTTGTGTCCGCTACTATACATCTTGATCCCTTGGATTATCATTTACACTAATAAAAATCAATAATTTATGTAATGCACGTTTTATGAATAAGGGTCTACTTACCTTTAGATGATGATACTTACCTTTCGATGGTACACACAGCAACAAGCACCTTTTCCACTTTGTAAAACAGAATCATTCTTTCTTTTCATGGAATAGTTTTGTTTTTTTGTGCCCCTTTTCAACGTGCAAATATTTATAAAATATATAAATGCTCTTAAATCTTTTTTCGTCATTTTTTTAGATACTAATTTGTATCATTTTTTGGTATTCATATTTTTTTATGCACCACCTTAACTGAATTTATTTTTTCTTATTTGCATTTTTTGAGGGGGCACCGCATCTTTTTTTCTTAAATGTTAAATATACATCATATAACATTTTTGATGTTTAACAAACAGAATCGACCAAAAATCCTCTGCATCATCACATAGATTAATGGCTAACAATAATTCAGTACATAAAATATACAGAAATCATCCCAGAAAAAATCACAAAATAGACAAAAAAATTATAAAGGTTATTTTATACATCTATGCAAACCAGTCAAGCATATTTCATCACCCTTGTGATATCAGATACTTTCCGTTTCAGACCTTGTGACCAACATATTACCAGCAAGATTTTTATAGAATCTAACAAAGTGATTACAATTTCTCATTTTCAGTTTTCAAAAGAAATCAGCTGATGAAAAAACTTTAATTTTTCTACAAATACTTAGCTTGATTTGTAAGACCCTGAAAGAAGCCAGATTTTGGTACATATTCTCTTTTTGAACAACCAAATTGAATGAAACTGAATTAGTGCAAATATTCTAACCGTACTTGAGTTAAACCAACTAAAATGGTTGAAAATACAGATGTTCTTAATTTTCTTTGAATTGAAAGTCACGAGTCACATGATCTAAGACGGATTATCAAAAATTACTAGTTTGAACTATATGAAGCTTAGTGAAAAAATAGACATAAGCGACTATCGCCGCCAGGATCGATCTTCGTCTTCTTCTTCCTCGTCATCTTGTAGAAGAGCTTCCTCAGAAATTTCCGGACCCAACTGTAGAAAATAGAATTATATTGCAAGAACGTTTTAAAAAGGATAAACTACAGGGTGGCGAATATATAACTGACTGATTTAAATTGCGCGCCATTTTTGATACACGCATTTCAGTAGGTGGCGCCGTGGTAGTTGTTTGAAGCACACGTGTCCAATTTATCATAGAGCGCTACACGATCCCACAACGCGTCCGGATTGTTAAAACGTTTTACATAAATAATGAGTAGATTGCTGCGACGATTCGGAAGCTACGATAAGATTTCGATCGAAATAAAGTGCCAAGTTCAACACCATTCGTCAGTTCAAACTGTTCGCACTCCGGAAAATATCGAGAGAGTTCGTGAAAGTGTAGTGGAGCGCCCCTGACACGTCTACCAGACATCGTTCTCAAGAACTGGGCATTCACCGCACGTCATTATGTACTATTTAAAAAAAAGACTTTGCATTTTTGTGCAAAACTTTTTAGCTCCTCAAATCAAAAAAATTAACCTGCAAAACATGTGGTTCCAGCAGGACGGAGCAACTTGCAACACAGCTAGGGAAACAATGAATCTTTTGGGAACAATGTTTCCGGGCCGTTTAATTTCTCGATTTGGTGATGTTAACTGGCCACCAAGGTCACCTGACTTAACGGCTCCTGACTTTTTTATGGGGATTTTTGAAAAATAGGGTTTATACCAACAAACCAAATACTATAGAGCAGCAGAAGAACAATATTACGGAAGTGATTGAAAATATTCCTCTCGAAACCTACCAAAAAGTGATGGAAATGTAATCAAGAGGGCTTAGGTTCGTTCGGCTTCTAGGGACGGGCATTTGTCTGATATTATTTTTCACACATAATTTCTAAGTTTCAATAGAAGATTAAGATGAAAAAAATTGACGTATTTTATTGCATTTCACAAATATTCAATACACAAACCAGTCAGTTACATATCGGCCACCCTGTATAATACTGTATAAACCGCCTAAGCTCCGCTTACATAAGCTCGGCTCAATAATTAATCTCACTTAATATTGCAATGTAAAAGCTAAAGCTAGGCTTAGGCGAGCCCGTGCATGCACTTAACAACACCGCGATTTACTGACGAAGTGCGATCTTTCTCCATATTCCAAGCTATTTGAGGTTGACATGTGTCAGGCGTCTGAGATGTTTAACTTGACATGTGTCACCAACAGTTCCAACGACCGGCGACCAACCAAAAGCAGTTTCCAAATTCTTCACTGTCTGGCCTTTTTCTCATTTTTCATGAATGTGATATTTCCAACAGTAGACAGGTCGATATAAATATGAGTGAAAAACACAGCAGAATTCCTAATTTCACCACAACGGAATAATTAAACCTAATGAAAAGCATCGCAAATAAGTATATAATTGTTGAAAATATTAAGACAGATCTTAGTGATCTATTTTTTATTATTTTCTTGTTTCCGCTCATTTTTTCAAACATAACGATATACAAGGTCTGTAAAGTGATGAGATTGGCAAGCGAGACAGGGGAACATGTGATCCGCCTTCAGTACAAGTTTGAACTCGCTCGAGTCATTTGGGTGAAACAGTTTTTTCTATTGTGTTCTAAAAATGTATGACATCAAGCAACGGCGTGCTATCAGGTTTTGCTTCAGTCTTGGGCACAGCACAATGGAAACAATTGCTAAACAGGCCTACGGGGATAGCGTTTTGTCAAGCGCCCGGGTTTTTCGGTGGTTTAAGTCCTTCATCTTCAAAAACCGATGAAAATAGAGACATAATTAGGGATCTTGTGCGTTGACAGTCAAAAAGATCGGAGAAGAGTCAAATTCTTGTCAAACCACCGTTCATCAGATCAAGAACAACTGGAAGTTGCATCAAGATAATGCGCCTTGTAGCACAGCAATGTCAATAAACGAGTTTTTGGCCAGCAAAAACACTCCTGTGGCTCCACAGTCTCCTCATTCGCCTGATTTGAGCCTTCGTGACTTTTTTCTCTTCCCGAAGTTGAAAACACAGCTCAATGAAAACATTGAAACGGTATCGGAGTTAAAGCACCGCTATGAGGAGTGGAAGAGTGACAATATAAAATATAATTATATTCGAATGCGAAAATTAAAAAAAAACAGTCTCATCACCTACTTTGCAAAGGTCGTAATAATCATCTGAAAATGTTTATACAGGGTGTTTCAGTTTATTGTTGCATAACTTTAAGATTCGATAGAACTTTTAAAATTAATGCATAAAGTCTATATAAACATTGGTCGAAAAATGCGTGGCTTCCGAAATACACGGTGTTTAAATTTACTTTCTAAAATAGTTTTTTTTAAATATTTCGAACAATATTTGATGTATAACAGTGGAAATTGGTATACTAGGGTTTTTTGGTACGACAAAACGAACCATGGGCATAGTTTTACTGTAGCCGCTAGAGGGCGCTCTCTACTGTACCTGTAGTGTATTAAAATGACCGAAAAATTTTTCTTAGTGCAATTTTTTGCTTTTTGAATAAAAAAACGGATTCTTCGCACTTTTCAACATAAAAAAGCTCTCTTGTGAATTTTCGTTATAGTTAGCCGTTTTTGAGATATTTCGATTTTTAACGTTAAAAAGTCATTTTCTCGATAATTTTTAGAAGTAGGCTGTGCCTGCAAATATTTTTGAAATCGAAAGCAGAATAAGGTTAAACGCCAATTAGTTGACAGTTAGTTTTGTTATCTGTTGAAACTTTTTTTTGCAATTGTGAATGCACGAAATTTAGTTTCTTTTACCTGTTTTTTTGTAAGTTTTATAAAAATGCCATTTTTATTCTCCAATCAAGAGTTAGCGGATATTCATTTTGTGTATGGCTTTGTAAATGGAAACGCAGCAGAAGCAGCCAGAGAATACGCACGAAGATTTCCAAACAGACGACATCCAACTCGCTCAATATTTGTAAGAGTGCATCGCCAAATAATTGAAAATGGTTTTGGAAATCTCCAAAGGGATCAAAACATAAATGTTCGTCAGCGCAGATTTACCCGTATGATTCTCAGTGAGTTTGATAGAGATCCGACCACAAGTGTTAGGAGAGTTTCTGGTGCCTTGGGAATTTCAGCAAGCCATGTTCACCGTGTTCTTAGAAATGACCATAGACGTCCTTACCATTTGCAACATGTGCAAGGACTACAGCCAGCTGACGGAGAACGAAGAATCACATTTTGTTAGTGGATTCTTGATAGAACTGATAATAATAGGGAGTTTTTAAGTAACGTTTTATGGACCGATGAGTCGTGCTTCACTAGACGTGGAGTGATAAATTTTCATAATCAACATATTTGGTCGTATGAAAATTTTCAGCATGAATTTAGTGTGAACGTGTGGATTGGTATCTACCGTAATCGACTATTTGGACCCTACCTTTTGCCTGCAAGGTTAAATGCTGCGACCTTCTTGGAATTTTTAAAGGCTGAACATGCAAATATGTGGGATGATGTTATGTTAGATTTAAGAAGATTGGCCTGGTTCCAGCTTGATGGTTGTCCAGCTCATTATTCGAGAATAGTTAGAAACTGGCTGGACGAAAATTATCCAGAAAGATGGATCGGCCGTGGAGGACCAGTCGCCTGGCCTCCACGATCCCCTGACCTAAATCCATTAGATTTCTTTGTGTGGGTATTTCTAAAAGAGATATGTATGCTAATAGAAAGAATCAGGAATGCATGTGATGAAATAAGGCCTTATTTGAATAATGCTATACCACGTTCGATCATTCGTAGATGTGAATTGTGTATTGAACAATTGGGTTTACATTTCGAGCAACTACTTTAGGTTTTGCATGTTTGTCCTAACTATCCAATAGCATTTTAGTTGTAAATAATTAATTTAATTTGTTATAAATAATATTGGAAAATTAAACAAATTAATATTCTGTTTTTTTGTGTTTATTTGGAGTTAGGAATTACTGCTGTGTTTAAAAACACAATCTAAACGATCATCTTAATTACTTGTAATGCCCAAATCGAAAATGTAAAAAAAATATTATTTTCCCATAAATAATTAAAAATGCATCGAACCCTAAAAATCGAAATATCTCAAAAACGGCTAACTAAAACGAAAACTCACAGGAGAGCTTTTTTATGTTGAAAAGTGCGAAGAATCAGTTTTTTCATTCAAAAAGAAAAAAATTGCACTAAGAAAAAATTTTCGGTCATTTTAATACACTACAGGTACAGTAGAGAGCGCCCTCTAGCGGTTACAGTAAAACTATGCCCATGGTTCGTTTTGTCGTACCAAAAAACCCTTGTATACCAATTTTCACTGTTATACATCAAATATTGTTCGAAATATTTAAAAAAAAAACTATTTTAGAAAGTAAATTTAAACACCCTGTATTTCGGAAGCCACGCATTTTTCGACCCATGTTTATACAGACTTTATGCATTAATTTTAAAAGTTCTATTGAATCTTAAAGTTATGCAACAATAAACTGAAACAGCCTGTATAAAAGTTCATAAGCTTGCTGGTTCTGACCTGAGAATTGAATTTAAATTTACAAGCAAATGTACGTATTTGGACAAAATCATACACAGAATCTGAAATATTAATGCTGGATTATCGGCCTTATACCCTGAGAAGGCGCCATGCGACTTCGGCCTCTTCCATTTGCAAAAATCACAGCTAAAAGGACGCATGTTTACATCCAAAAATCAGCTGATTGCAGCGTGGAAACAATGACAGCGCCTGTTTATTAATTCGTTCTTGCGTATGACAAAGTGAGTTGAAAAACAATGAATGTTTTTTTCATACGACAAGACTCAGCGGAAATCAGGGAAAAAACGGTAGGTACAAATAAACTTACATCTTCCTCTGCTCCATCCAGTATGCTGGAATCTATCAACTGATCTTCTTCAGTTTCAGACATCACAACAGTACGTGTGGACACGCTGCCGCTACTTCTCTGCCTGTTCAGCTGTTTGCTGGTGCTCCATGTTATTGATAAAGTACGATCCTGCAATAGAAAGTTTACAAGTTATTGTTGTGTGATGCATGAGATTAAAAAAAAATACATTAAATTTTATAAGAATAATCGCTCAATCTTGCTCTCAAAGTGTCATGAGTTATACAAAAGTCATAGATCTATACAAACTATTTTCTTACGATAATGTATTAAGAACTGTTCAAATTATACGCTAATATTTTATGTGCAATGAAGATAATCCAAAAAGTACTCACTTGGAAATGTTTTCCTTTTAATAACGCCATTTCAGCTTCTTTTCTGGTCTTGTAGTTCAACGTTATTGAAGGTATTGAAGGATCAACTTCATAATCTGCGATTTCTCCATATTGCTGGAAAAGTGTTTCGTTATCCCAGTGTTTGATTGCATTTAAAGATCGATAGCGGCCTGCTTTGACAGTACATATATGAAGGGTACCGGGGAATAACGAAAATAGTCCATCCGGACTGATTTCGAGGAAATCGGTAATTAAGGTTTACTTACTTGTTGGAAAGTAAAATTGATGAAAAAATCAGTCGTAAAGAATATATTTGCTAAACAGTGTGTTTATTGGTAAAATAGATTTTACAAAATGCACTTTTACACAAAACTAGTAACGTAACAAACAAAAGATGATGTTCAACTCTGGACTCGTGTCACTTTTCACCTGCTTTAAGCGTCTATTGGCGGGTCATCGATGTCTTTGGATGATCAAGAGATATTAACTGTTGATAAAATGCCCTGGAATCTTTCCTTTTTTAGTTTTTGTTGATCTTTTTGCGTCTTTTTTAGATTCTTCCGAATTACCTTATCAAATTTAGAACTAGCATATAGGCCCTTGTATTTCGATTTGTGAAAAACTACGCGAGGATTCTGTTAACAAAACTTGAGCATCCTGACTGGTCGGGTTGGAAAGGGGCACTTCGTTGGATAAAACGGCGATAAAAACGTACTCCAATCTTGAAAATCAAAATTTTTGCCACAATCAATGACTTCAAATCGTGTAGGTTTCACACGGCAATTTTTCAATTCATCTCTCCAGTCATCCGGTACCTCAGTGTATGCTCTTTGGTTCACGAGCCTCATATCTCTATCACACTCGAGGTATGAATGCCCCCTGATATGCAAAAACCGAATAACTGTAAAGTTTTTATTTTTCCACAGAAAATGGCAAGTTCTTTTACTTCCATAGGCAGGATGTTATAAAAAAAGTGATACAGCATAGAACAGACATCGTCAGCTCCTTTCTTAGCAATAGATTCATCGTAGGTATAAAAGATAGAATTTGAGTTTGACAGAATGTGGATGTTAAAACTGATGAAATTTAGTTGCCGCTTATAGTAAACATCATTTGTTATGATATTTGGACAGGGCAAGTTTTTTCGGTAATCCATCGTGATACTTTCGATAGCGGGGAACTTGAGGCACGTTTGCGGTAAGTTCTCTTTAAAATCGCTCACCCCTTTTTTGATGTAGTGTCTTCTCAAGTATCTTTTTCAACAAATTATTACTGACTGACTGCCTAGTCTATTCCGTGTGGGAATTTAAGGTAGCGGTAAGTGAAGATATATCAGCTTTTAAGAAATCACACGTACTACAAGTATCTTTGCGTGGATAACCGAACGATATATTGCAGTTGTTTTCAAAGATTTCTTGGAAGCTGTCATAGGAAATCTTGTTTTCAACATTGCCAATAGAATACATTTTGTGTAATTTTGCGATATTTAGATTTTCAGGTAGGTAAACTTTTTGCGAATCTGCCAAAGAATAATGAGAATTGCGGTATTTGAGGCCCTTAATAAACTCGGTCACTTTCTGTTTTGTGTTTTCTGAAAGTTTGTGAAGTCGTGTGTTGTGTTTTCCACGCATGTGGATGGGCGATTGCCCAGTTGCAACTAATGAGTCGCTTATGTACCGAACTCGACGAACTGTAATTCCGTGTAAAGACAAAAAAGCCTTAAACTGGAAAATCACGTATAATTCCATTTTTAACCAAACGGACACGATAACTAAATGAAGCATTATTAAGCCTTGACTCTGCTTCATTTTTTCGAGGGCGTCTACGCATGACAGGAAGAACAGTGATAAGACCAATAAGATAAGCGTTTTGTGCATTAGTGTTTCCTAGTTCATCAAATTCACGAAGAAGTCTACAGCGTTCAGGTTCAGGAACAGTAGTAAACGTTCACAAAAACAATCAGATCCGAGTACGTGGGTAGTGGCGCGCAAAGTTTTCATTACGTCTCTTTGTCTTAATGTTTTTTGCGTTTTTTCGTTTCCCTGATTGATGGGCCTGGTTCATTTTCACTTGAAACTGAATAGTCACTATCCATTATACACAATACCCGTATTATAAACTAAATTAGCGAATATAGTCAATATTAATAATAGTAAACTAATGGCAGATGCAATAACGAAACGCCCAAGCGGTTCGGCCGATGCAACGCCGGAACGCCGCCTTTTCCATATGGACTGATGCCGTTTTTCCATACACGCGCAGGGACTCATGCCATTCTTCCCCGGCACAGGGAATCTTATAGCTGTTGTTTTGTGAACCTAAACCCTTTTTACAATTTAAGAAGCTTATTACAAGATAGCAACGGGAAAACGCCACCAAAATAAACTGAATGCTCAATTTAGCCAAAGAATGGACTAATGACGTTTTTCCCTGGTAACCTTCATATCTATCAACCTATATGACTGGTCAATACAAATTACAAAGTTATTAACGCTTAAATTGATTGAATTGAAAAAGTGCAATATATGAAAACATGTTTTCACAAATTGTATCAAAGCAAAAATGTTTGTTACTTATAACACAACTTCCACTATTTAAGTTTTGACTGGAAATTTTGTCAACATATTGCTAGATGCGCCAGTTTCATATCCAGCATTTTGACACATTAAATTTGATGCAACCAAAACAGATCATGGTGCGGTACACAATGGAGAGACTTATTCCACGAAAATGAGTTCATAAAATGATTGTGATTTTTTTCTCTCCCCGAAATTGAAAAATCACCTCGAGGGAACTCATTTCGTGACATTCTAAAACATTCTAACGGCTGTAACCGACCGGCTGAATGCTATTCTAGTGTCGGAGTTCCAGCACTGTTATGAGGAGTATTGTGATTATATTTAAATGAAAAAAATAATTATCCGCATATTTAATAGTATCGCCATACTGTTAAAGGTTACTTGATACTTACTTGAAAATGGCTCAGTACGCTATCTTGCTCATCAGTTTCATATCCTGATACCAAAAGCTTAGTGGGACGATGGTCAACGGTGTGTTTTTGGAACGTCGTGCTCAAAGCTGTTGACGTTTGACTAGTGGGCGACGGTCTGTTAACCGTCTTCATAGCTTTCAGTTCTACATATAGAAAAACAAGTTACAAATGTAGGTAATGGCGTTGATTTTTAACATATTCTACATGAAGATATCCAACAATGTTCGTCCGAAAACTGATCTGAGATAAAGTGCGACACCATGGCGACATCTATGAGAACTTATCACCCTGCTCCCAGCGATAATTAAAAATCTACTTCGAAAAGGTTAGTGTCTCATATATGGGGTTGTATATATCCTGATAATATGTGAGCATATAGTTGACTACAGCCTTAAAACGGTGTGCCTCCTCCTATTGTCTCTTCGTTTACTTCTCATTGACTATCTTAATGTTGGCGTAAAGCAATCAGTACGCCAATTTTGAAGAAAGGTAATAAGTAAAATGCAAAAACTATCGGCTCATCAGACTTACTCCCATAATTGCTAAAGTATCCGAAAAAGTCATGCTTAGTCAAATGCTCTAGTTTGCTACCGAAAATAATATATTACCAGCCAATCAACATGTTTTTGCCAGATAGAAATCAACATGCCTGTAGATGTAATATACCTGGATTTTTCGAAAGCGTTTGAACGAGTACCATATATGTGACATGACAATTTTTGGGTGTACCTTATGTATTTCGAGACCCTTAAATCAAATCTAAAACAGAATTTTTCTAGCACCCACAGATATTCGGTAACATCTACTTTTATGAATTACAATACGTAACATCTCATAATGCTGCATTTCTCGGCGTTTATGCGATGAGGCACATATATAAATATTATGACCTGTCTATTCCTGTTTATTTTATGCGAGCTCTATGTTTAGAGAGCATATTGCGTTTATTAGTACAGTAATAGCAGCCGAGTCAGTTACGTTTTCTGTGTTGAAGAGTACTGAGATGTTCTGAGTACTGTTAATTTTTGTTAAAACTGGCGTTGTTTTTAGTTTATTGTGATCGAGACTAGCTTTATGGACAATGCCTAGAAATTGTGTAAATAGTGCGAACAATTTTTATTATGTGTGCGGAGAGCTAACTTTTAAATCCCAAAAACGTACTTTTACTGCCCTTGTGTTGAAAGCATACGAACTTTATTGTGGAATTAAAGTTGGCGACCAAGATAAACTATGGGCCCTTCATATATGATGTAAGACTTGTGTAACGTTGTTAACAGGTTGGTTAAGAGGCGACAATCGTAAAATGCCCTTTGTGGTACCCATAGTTTGGAGAGAACCGAGAGACCATACTACTGATTGCTATTTTTGTCTCACAAATATTAGAAGTGTTGGACCAAAATCGAAACATACTATTTTAATTTAATATCAGCTTTGCTTCCCGTTAAGCATAGTGATGAACTGTCTGTCCAGTTCCACTAGAATCTTGGTCTTTGGATGAAAAAGTCGAATCCACCGATTCTGAAAGTGATGGTACAGAAAGCGTAAAAATTTCCGATCCTTTGTTTGACCTGCCAGGATGTTCAACAGCGCCGCATTTCATCACACAGGGTGAACTTAATGACTTAGTTCGAGAATTAAATCCGTCAGAATCCCAGTCAGAACTTTTAGCGTCAAGATTAAAAGGATGGAATCTTCTCCATGGTGATGTTAACATTGCTTTTTACCGAAAACGGCAACAAGACCTCACACACAGTTTCCGCCAAGAAAGGGAGTTGATATATTGCTCCGATGTCAATTTGTTTGACGCGTTAGGACAGAAACATGATCCAAATCATTGGCGCATTGATTCCTCTAAGCCTAGTTTAAAAGCGGTATTGGTACACAACGATAATAAATATCCATATGTACCTATAGCACACGAAGTTCATATGAAGGAATCATATGAAAATATGCGAGCTCGGTTAGAGCATATCCCTTATAATGCATATGAATGGGCCATATGTGCAGATCTACAGGTAATAGCCCTTCTTCTTGGAATGCAACTGGGATATACCTAATATTGTTGTTTTCTTTGTGAATGGGACAGTCGTGCGCGAGATCGTCATTATGAACAGAAGGAGTGGCCACTACGTCAGGTATTAACTCCGGGCCTCAAAAACATTGCTCATGAACCACTAGTTGATCCCAAAAACGTGTTGCTTCCACCTTTGCATATTAAGTTGGGGCTGATGAAAAATTTTGTGAAAGCTATGGATCGAAATGGAAGAGGGTTTTTGCATTTAAAACAAACATTTCCGAGACTTAGTGAGGCAAAAATTAAAGAGAACATATTTGTGGGTCCACAAATACGGAAAATCATGAAGGATGATGTATTTGTCAGTGCTCTAAATGAAACTGAATTACGAGCTTGGAATGCTATTAAATCATTTACTGCAAATTTTTTAGGCAACGTGAAGATGGACAATTATGAAGATATTTTAAATGACCTAATTAATGCTTATAAAGGAATGGGATGCAACATGTCTCTAAAAATTCACTTTTTGGATTCTCATCTCGATTTTTTTCCGGAAAATTTAGGTGCGGTAAGTGATGAACATGGTGAACGGTTCCACCAAGACATTTCTACTATGGAAAAACGGTATCAATGCAAATGAGTGTCAATTTGCTTGCTGATTATTGCTGTACATTGTTAAGAGATACTGCATGAGCAACATATCGGCGTAAAACATCGACAACAACATTCTGAGATTAATGTTTATTCAAGTGTTTATTAGTACTCTTACACTCATATCCTCATATTTTATTTTTTTTTATAAAATGCTTTATTGCAAGAAAACCGTGGGTGATAGAAAAAATCGAATGCTATTTCCGGCTTTTTGGGTACGTTTTACAAAATAACCACCTTGTTTTCTCCATGTTACAAAAAATTATTATAATTTTGTCCACCAGTGTACTCTTATACAGAGCTTTGCATGGTTTCTTCGGCACTTACATATCCTCACTTTTCCGACTCCACGACAATCACCTGCGAGGCCACAACTATAATTTAATGAAACATAAGTTTCGACTTACACCTCGTCAATTTTTAACAGGTTCACGAATCGTTTCGTATCTCTGTTTGGGGTTTATAGCATTTGCTCCTCTATTGTGTATAATAATAACAATAATATTCTTACACAGCGCCATCTCTGGGACCCCAACCTTTTTCAAAGTAGATTAATTATTGCAACAACTGTGACAAATTCTTAAAGATTACGCCATGATATCTTATATGTAAGGCTATCTTCAGGAAGAAAATGTCAATCGATGGTGAAATCAAATCCTAGTTTAGGTTTTGTTAAGCCAAGATGCATGACACTTTCTGTGGGCATGAAGCCAAATACAGTTCATACGGCGATTCTTCAATAAAATAAACTGGGGTTGCACAATCGCATAACAACAATCTGTTGAGCGAATCACTGAAGCAGTTGAGCAAGTTCGCTAGCACAAAAGACCGCGGATCACACTGTAATCAAAATTATTTCGAGAATTTTGGAATATTCAGAATTAGAGCATAGAACAATGGAGCATATTTCATTATATTACACCCCAAGAGATGAACAGTCCCTCATATGATTGCTATTCTGATGCTGCATTCCTTTGCTTTCTTTTGTTGGGCAAATGATAGTTGAATAATATATACAAAGTATAACTTTACGAGTGGTTTAAGCATAGACCATCAGTGCTTAGGAAAAATGACGCTTGGATTTAAGAATGACTTGGCAATAGAGCAAAACATTACTGCTGTGAGGAAAATGCTCGACCAAGACCGGAGAGTGACACACTAACAGACAGAGGAGACCTTACACCTTCATGCACCAGCAATTCATTCAATTCTGCATGACCTTTTACAGGTGAGGAAACTTTGTTCTCTCTGGGTACCGCATAGTCTGACGGAAGAGCAGAATACTCATCGTACGACTTGGTGCCGAAAGATGCTGAAAATGTTTGATAAGGGACAATCTCGGTATGTGAACAGCATCGTGACAGCTGACGAGACTTGGCTCTATTACTAGGATGTGCCGACCAAGGCTCAAAACAAAGTTTGGGCTTTTGATGATGAGGTCACACCCGTAGCTGTCAGAAAATCCCGATCTGTTAAAAAAATGATAGCTGTATTTTTCAAATCGAGCGGGATTGTGGAGCGTGTCGTTTTGAACACACAGAAGACAGTCACAGCTAAGCGGTACACAGAAGTCATACAGCCTATGAGAAACCCGCGGCCAAAGTCCACCATGACAACGCTCCAATTCACCACCCCAAAGCCTGCACCGAGTATTGAGCTCCTGCTTATAGTCCAGATCTTGCTCGCTGCGACTTTGCACTGTTTCTGCATGTGAAAATGAAGCTGAAAGGAAAACGGTTTTCTAGCGATGAGGAGCTTCTGAGGGCTTTGGACAACGAGTGTGCCGCACTTCCGGGTGAAACTTGACAGAGCTGGTTTAAGGACCGATTTTGGCGGATGGAAAAGTATATTGAATATGGTGGAAATTACTTTGTACGAAGTTGATAAATAAAGCTGCATTGCAAAACTTGTATAGTACCCATTGTACACTATCATGCCAGCGGGCTATTTACAAACGGTATCAACGAAAATGAAGAAAAATCTTCGCGGTGAAAAATGGAATATTGCGGAAAATTAATGAGAAACGGTACTCACTTAAATTGTTCTTTGTCAGAAGATGCCGGCCAATGACTGGTGTGCTCATAGGGTATCGCCGACCAACCCTACCGCAACGAACGGCTCCTGCTGCTGCCACCTAGAAATAAGAAAACAAATTTTCAAGCAAATATTTAGCAAATTGGAAATAGAGGTTGGTACAAAACAACACTACTGAGAGAAAATACACGACAGCATTACCGAATAACACACATACCAGATCTTTACATAAATTTTTAAAACCAAAACAAACTACATATTTATAAAATGTATATTCTGCCTTCTATAACTATCTAAAACTGTAATGACTCATCGATGTTCACGTGAACATCACTTAACTACCAGTAGTCGGCTGTTCATAGGTGGGCTATGAATGTTTAACATGGGTGAACTAGATTTGTCACATGCTTAATAAAGAGTGGTTTGAAACATATTGTAAGTCAAAAATTTGGGAATTACCTTTATCCATCGTCGCTTCCACTTACATCTGACAGTAATAAACTGTCGCTATCGCTTTCCTCGTTGAAATTGACTATAACTGGCTCTATGATGGTGTCGATGTGGTGGTCAAGCTGCCACATTTTTGTTTCTGCCTTCACAACATGACGGATAGCATTCTGCCAAGCTTCGGGCGTTACTAGCTGTATGGACGTCTCAAGTAAAACCTTAACGTCTGGTAATATGAAGGTTGTGTTATGGCGCGCAATATAACCCTTCACTTGAGCCCAGATGAGCTCTATTGGGTTCAGTTCACAGTGGTAGGGCGGTAACCGCAGCACAGTGACACCACATTGACAGGCCATCTCATCAGTCACGTAAGTAATGCTCGCAGGTTTGTGCTGTTTAATTTTTTCTTACAATTCCGCTTTCACACATGAATCGTCAAACGGGATTCCTTTTTCGCGCAACCATTGCTGCATGTCACTTTTTCGAGATCCCATAGTCGGTAGACGTTCGGCTCGACGACTAGGTAGGAAGCATTATCCATGACGATCACAGAGTTTGGCTCAACTCGCTGAAGCACCCCTTGAAACCAGCTCTCGAAGCAGCTGGCATTCATTTCGTCATGGTAATCACCTCCTTTCTTAGAGACGAAAATCAAGTCACACTCTTCTAAAAAGCCACTATCGCTACCAATATGAGTTACGATCAATCTTTGACCTTTCCCTGACGGTCCACGAAGACCTGTTGACAAACCTTCAATGCTTGCTTGTCGGTTACTCACTACGTTTTTGTCCATCCAGGTTTTTTTAACTGTGTGACCTGCATTTACCCATGTCTCGTCCAAATAATAGATTTTTCTGCTTTGTCGCCTATATTCAATCATTTCGCGAAGGTATTTTCGACGCCAGGCGACTATTTCAGGTCTCTCTATCAATACTGACTTCCGATTACGCGTTTCGTAACGAAAATTAATTTCGTGCAGGGATTTCCTCATTACCTCGACGCTCATTTGGGGTATAATTTCATTTTCCTTGATCGCTGCATGTACAGCCTTGAGGGTTGGTATCTCATTCCTAAAGAAGAATGAATGTACGGTTCGCCTTAACACCATTTTGCTATCGTCATCCAATTTAACGGCCTTTCGTCCATTCAAATTAAACTTTGGATCAGTAGTAGCTCCAGTTTTCTTCTTTTCATGCACCACCCTGCGAATGGTCCACTCTGGAACGCCTGTCATACTTTCACAACGCGCGAGTACATCTCCCTGCGACATAGTTCTGTTCAGATAATTGAACACGTTGAGCATGATTTCTTTCGCGTCCCTCTTCAGTGCTTTACGAAGCCGTCTACTTGTTCCCTGGCTTTCAGTACTTCCACTCGTGCCATTTGTACTCTCCAGGGTTAAGTATAACCAAAACAGTAACCACAGAAACCACAACAATAACAATCACACAACAATTCTTATAAAAACACACAATATGCGATCGCTCAACGAAACATGTTCCAATGCGTTGCCGACGCCTATGAGTCTGCCGGTCGAGGCGCGTCTTTGATTTCATTGGTTCTACCGGCGGAGAACAATCAGTCATTATTTCCATCTCTGTCTGTGCTGTTGACCACCGCAAAGCCACAGAATCGACATATGTCGTACGCTATACGGCTGTACTGGAAGGAAGCCGGGATCGAGCTCTGATCACGTGTTGATCACGCGTATGAGTCATTACAGTTTTAAATAGTTGTAGTATAGTCAGTAAGTGTTTAGTCATAGACTTTATGCAGAAACTCAAAACGAGACGGTTAGTTGCTTTCTGTGGCAATACAAACAAAGTCGAAATCTGGTTAAAGCCAAGTTGCCGTCGGATTGCTTCTGGCGAGAACAGTGCTAAACACTTGGAAGACAGACATTTTTTAAGCAAGTAAAAACAGATATTACCTTAGCTCGCAATTCGTTAAGCTTTTTCTGTAACTCCTTAGTATCTGCCCCTTCTTGCTGCTTGGCGATAAGATCAAGCTCAGCATCTAGCAGTTCCCGTTGGGCCTCTTCTTTGGTTTTTGGTTTAGCAGCGCCGGCTTTGGAAGCTGCAAGTGCCGCTGCTTCCAAGTCCTTGGTTATGGCAGCAATTGCTTCCTGCGTCTTCTTTATGGTGTCTTTGACGAGGTCACGAGCTAGTCCAGGAGGCACTAAAAAAGACGATGCTTAGTACAGTACTCGGATGAATCCTCAGACAAATATTATGGCAGGCTGAAATTCATCATGATAGTAGTTGAACTGTCTTCATATCTAATTTACTTCGCGTCAAAACAAATTCCAGTTGGCGAGGTTCAAATTGGCGTTCAAAACCCTTGATGATTGGAACAAATTTAAATAGCATTATAGATTAACAGACAAATCATACTCACTTTTTTCCATTTTTTCAAGGAGAATCTTCTGCTGGCTCAACTGCTTATCAAGCAGCTCTTGCTTCTTTTTCCTGAGATCGCTTTGGATCTGAAGCACTTGCTTACGCTGTACATCTTGATTCTTTTTGACTTTAGCTTGAGCGGCCAACAGCTCTTGGCCTTTTTTTATAGCTTCAACCGCTTGAGTGTGGTTTTCCTCTTTGGTTTTCTCGTCGCCAGAAGATGCATCTTGTGGTTTTTCCTCACCAGGAACACCTGGGGCGCTAGTATCGTCCGCCTTTGGTTGCACCAAGTTGAAGACCTTCAATAAAACACAGTGTACTCAGTTATGGGAGTATCAACGAAAGCCAGATGATAGAGAACCTCACTACAAGTGTTATGCGAAATCGAATATTTCATGAAATATTTCTTTTTTTTTTGTTTCAGATTTATTTAGCATTAATGCTACAATGTCCATAATATCCATATTACACAGTATATCACAAAATATATTTTGTCTTTAAGATTATATATTTTTATACAAAATTTCACTATTATGAATTATGGTTTTCCATGAGATATTTTTTCAATTTCCCTTTAAACATTTTCAAACTGACACACATCTTGATATCATTAATTAATTTATTAAATTCGTACAATCCCTTTTGAAATACTGACTTGCTCGTTATATTGCTAGTGCAGGTAAATGAAAGTATATACTTCCTCTAGTAGAATAATTGTGGCACTCATTGTTCAATACAATAAAATTTTCTAAGTGATTTGTTAGAAGATGATTTTTTAACTTGAATATGAAAATGAAAACCAAGTAGGATATGAAATTTTTGATATCTAACCATTGTAGTTGATTCAGCATAAAATTTATTCTAGTATATTTATTTTTATTTAAGATGATATGTTTTTGTTTTTTAAAAATATCCATCATAATCTTAACCTTACAATTGCAGCTAAAATATCAAGTATACGAATGTGCTTCTGGAAGCAGTACAATACTAGGTTTTTGTTTAATCACGACCCTGCTTGGATGACAAGCTTTATAACAGATTTAATAGATTGCATTTTGTGCTGTCTCATTTCGATAAAACATTATTTTATGTGCTTGATACAAAGTATCTCATTCCAAGTTGAAGATTTTGTTATTGTTATCATTTCACTGCTTATAAAAATCGTAAATCATAGAGAACGAGTAATTATTGTGGTAACGTCAGAAAACTTTCAGGAGCCAAATAAATTGACTATGAATTGGTGTCGGCACAAAAGAGTAGCAAAGGATTATATTATTTCACGTGATTTTGATGATACTAATTTATAATTTCAGATTCTGTAGCAATAGAACTTTGGAATTATACATCAATATACAGGGTGTAAACGTTATGATAGTCATTATTTAAATGGGTGATAGGAGGTGTTAAAAGAAGCAAAAAGTTTCATATAACATGGGGGCCAGTTTCTTCTTACTCTAGGTCCTCGAAGTTGTCCATTCATTATTTCAGCCACATAAATTTTTTTTTCGCGAAGTTGTGCTTCAGTTGTTATTGGACCAGCCCCATAAACCATCCCATTAAGTTCTCCCCAATACCAGAAATCCATCGGATTGAGGTCAGGAGATCTTGCTGGCCATTTTCGAGAATCAGGAGTATTTCGACCGATCCAGCGATTTGGATAATGATCATTCAAATACTGAATGACGCCTCTAAAAATGTGTGGTGGTGCCCCGTCATGAAGAAACCACAAATTCTGTCTCCGTTGTAATGGCGTGTTGTCTAAGGTCTGTTCCAAAAGTTCTGGTAGGTTATTGGCTAGAAAGCTAAGGTATCCTTCTCCTGACGACACTGGGGGTAACTCGAAAGGGCCAATTACCTGATCGTCAAGAATACCCGCCCAAATATTGATTTTAAAACGTTGTTGGAAATGACCTTCACGAATGGTATGAGGATTTTCTTGGTCCCACGTGTGAGTATTATGGAAATTTAATATACTGTCTCGCGTAAAAGTACATTCGTCCGTCGCTAGAATGTTTTTAAAAAAATCCGGATTTTCAATGTTTTAGTGCAAAAATCACTGACAGAATATTAGGTTGCGAGAATAGTTTTCTGGTACCAAGGCCTGCACTCGTTGTGCATGGTAGGGATAAAGCAAATTTTCCCGTAGGATTCGATGGACTATGGTATGCGATAGTTCTACGCGGCGGCCTAATTGCCGAGTGCTGATATCTGCATTGATTTCCACTATATTTAAAATTTGTTCCTCCTGCTCTACAGTAATCTGTCTTTCACGAGTACGAATATTAGTGGGCTGAACACTTCCTGTATCTCGAAGTCTTTGGTACACTTGCACAAATGTCCTTCTGTCTGGGTGTACCCATTGGCGAAATCTATCGCGATAAATTTGAGCTGTCGGCGAACTCTTGATTCGAGAACATTGTAAACAAACACGACGACGTACGCGAACAAAAACAAAACACGCCCGATGCCCGATAACTAACCACTGTTACCGTTTGCGATCGATTGCCGGTTCGATAAGAGTGATGACGACGCGCTGTTGTCATGTGTGTTTTAAATATTCAATCTAATGAAACTTACCGACTACACATTTTGGCTTAACTTAGAAAAACTTAATGCCATTTATTTGTTAAGTACCCGATATAAAAACGTTTTAGTTAGGTTATAAGAATTAGTGAGATTGTGTTCGATATAAAGCACTTAAAGTTGTAAACATTTAGACAAAAATCTATTGACTTTTGGACCATGGGTCATATGAACGTTTGAGCCCTGTATTTTTTAAAATCTACAGTCATCTTACGGAATAGTCCTATAAGCCAGGATTATTTCTCATTAAACTTTTTCTAAAAAAAAAAGTAAATATAAAATATGATATAATGTGCCACTTTACCCAAAAAAATTTGGTTAATAAGTATCATCACTTACCTTATTAGCATTAGGAGGAACAGCCTGTGGAGTTTGATTGCCCAATCTGTCTTTTACAGATCTCATAGAAGGTGGTACGTTTTCTTGATGCTTAGCATCAGGTTGTGTAGGATTGGCATTGTGCCAAAATACCTGCAAACCACAAGAATATGGATAAGTTAAAGTACAATGTAAACTGGTGTTTTCAGAACCGTGCGATCAAAAATATGATCAATGAATTTTTTATACCAGCAAATGCTGACTCTACATCCATTTGGATTAATACGTTGAAGAGAGATACAAGGTCTGTAAATTGAGTGATAAGTCTGACAACGCAGCGTTGTGACTTTTTTCTCTTCCCTAAGTTGAAAAATCACCTCAAGGAACTAATTTTGGAACAGTCGAAATCACTCAAACGACTGTAACCGACCACCTGCATGTTATTCCAGTATTGGAGTTCCAGCACTGCTACGAGGAGTGGAAGAACTGTTTCCGGGGTTGACTGGCTTCAGAAGAAAGTTATTTTGCGGGTGACAATATAAAATTGTAATTATATTTCAATAAAAAAAAACAGTCTCACCACTTGACTTACAGACCTCGTAGTCTACGAAATTTGAGCGTGTTGCGATTTGTCTTTCACCGAGGTCAAATTTACTGTATTTGTTGCCGATCATGGATTCCGAACGTGTTGAAATTAAATTTTGTTTCAAGGTGTAAAAAGTGCCAAGAAGCTTAATAATTGTTTGGTGACAATGTGCTGACTCTGATTTTTTTTACATATGGCAAAGCCGATTTTAAAGCGTGAATGATTCCATTTTGAGCGGTGATTTGCAAGGCAGGGCGAAATTTGTTCCTAGACTTTTGAATGACAAGCAGAAGGAAATTCCGCATGTCAGTTTGCATGGAATTAAAAGATCACCTGAAAGCAAATCCGGACTTATTTACAAACATTATAACTTGTGGTGAAAGTTGGGTGTATGACATGTATGGACCAACAACTTCTTCCTTCATCACGATAATGCACTGTGCGGACACCATTCCCGATAATAAAACACAAAGCATCCAAAAAATATTTCTGTTGGTATACCACAAGGTAGTAAACTAGGTCCACTACTATTTATTTCATACATTAATGACATTTGTAATATTTTAGATTATTGTAAACTTCAGATATTTGCAGATGATACATTAATATACATATCAGATGAAAATATAGACACTGCTTTAAAAATGCTAAATTCTGACTTGGCGAAAATCGTAAATTGGTTAAATGTAAACAAACTAAAATTGAATACTTCTAAAACAAAATGTATGCTAATAGGGAAATACCTAATTGAAAAAACTATCACAGTTAGGATAAATGGAGAAATAATTGAAAATGTTGAGTCATTTAAATATTTAGGTATATTTATATATTGATAGTAAACTAAAGTTTGAAGATCACTATGAACACGTTATTTCAAAAATTGCAAAAAAAAAACAAATTACTTTTATAGGGCTTCTCATAGTCTTGGTACCTATTCCAAGAAAATAGTTTATAATACAATTATTCTACCGCATTTACTATATTGTTCAACTATCTTGTTCACTGCCAATGAAGCTGTATTCTCAAAATTACAAGTCTTGCAAAATAAAGCTATGAGAGTAATATTGAATAAAAATAAGTACACCAAAATGAAATCTATGTTACAAAAAATTTAATATATTTGGTTCTTATTTTTATACTTAAAATAAAAAATCATCTTTTGAGAGAATATTTAGAACACTACATAGAATACATAATCATTACCACAATTAGTATACAAGAGGAAATATAGATTTTCATTTACAAAATTGCCATAGTAATATAACTAGCAAATCAATATTTCAGAAAGGATTACTTGAATTCAATAAACTAAATGATGATATAAAGTCTACTTGTAATTTAAAGATATTAAAAGAAAATTTCATGGAGAATGAAAATTCTTAGATGCAAATTTTGTTTTTTTTCTGAATGTCTGTATGTTATGTAATTGTTTAGTTTTTTAGAAGAATGTAATTGTAGCAATCATGCTAAATAAATCTTAAACAAACAAACAAAAGAAACCTTTCAGAAAAGCCCAAATCATGGAATCAACATTGTGATAAGTGCATCGCTATAGCCAAAGAGAGCACTTTGAAGAGGATTAACACAGCTTTGATATAAACTCATTTCTTTGCTCAAAATAAAATTTTTCATGTGCCCTTTTATTCCTCCTCACATTCTAACGAGTGCTTCATACAGAACAACAGTTCAATGGTATGACATGTGGAAATAATCTGCTGTAAGCCTTTTTCTATCGACATAAATTCAACAAATATCAGAGGATGATTGGTATCTGCACAGCTTACCTTAATAAAACGATTGTTCAGAACAGCTTCGGTGCATCTATAGGCTGCATTTGCTTCTGCATGGCTTGAAAAAGTTATCAGTGCAGCTTCTGGATCACCCTCATAACTGACCTGGAGTTTGTAACAAACGGATACATCAGTAAAAGATATATGATTTTGTTGAATGTTATAAGATATATAAGCACTACAACAATTAAAATCACTAGAGAAAATAATCATATAAAAATCGGCCCACACATTTCCTGTTTTCATATTATGTGTTTGGGTCTTTATATTTGGGAAAAAACTGTAAACCTTCGGTTTTTGCAAGAAGAATTACCGTTACAGATTAACATATTGATGGCACGTGTCATATATATATATATATATATATATATATATTTCAACATTTTTTAAAATTAGACTAAACATCACGCGCGCAAAAGAATACTAACCTGTATATTGACGATCTTTCCAAACTTTCCAAAATGGTTATTCAAATGCGTGATGGTGTTCAATCCATTGGGAACCTTCTTCAATTCGAGAGAGCAATTTTGCGGGTTCTTCTGTTGGTGCCTGACCGGTCCCAACCTGTTAAAATCAAAAGGTCCTCTCTTCTTGTAGCCTTCATGGTGAGGCGGGAACGGAGGCACACCTGGCGGACGGTAAGGTGGTCCTACCATTGGAGGGAAGCCTTCTGGTGGTTTGTGAGCACCGTTATCCATTACTGGCACTGGGATCAACTCGCGGTTCATGTTGGTGGGTGGAGGATAGACGCCCAAAGGAGGTACCTAGTGAAAAAAAATGGCGTTAGGTAGAGTGACTTTGTACTTCACACAAAATTATGATTGTTTTATTTCCCAACTTAGCGCCACCTGAACTATGATTTAAAAATTCGACCAAAGTAGAACTTTTCCTTACGCATAGCAGTACTACAGTGCACGCATCGTACTTCCATCGAAATAAATGAATAAATAAAATTTTTAGAAAGTTCCATATTGTCACGAGCTATCACAAAATATTCTGCGTAATCATTAATGTAAAAACTAAAAGACACATGTTATATGGATCAATAAAGTTTTTAAGAAAAGATTTATTTTAGGAATCAGTTTTTTTTAATGTCCAAAATCTCAAGTAAGAGGAAAAACATACCCTAGCAATGCCCATCGGTGGCGCTCGGCCTCCTGGTCCCCCAGGTCTGAAGTCTCTCCATAACTGCGGTGCTTGCGGGTTGTAAGGGTTATCTGGCACGACAGAATGCAATGGAGCTCTAGGTCCTACAGCTGGGCCACCGTTTGGATTGTAGGTTAGTACTCGACTCAGTGCAGCGTCTTCTAGCACAACAGGGTCTATGCCGTGGTCGAAGGGGCACATATCGCCGCTCATGCAATAACCTGAAATACCAAATCCCCTTTCAAGCAGCATCCAATTTTAGGAAAACTAACACTTGTTTTTTGAATAGGTCAAGATAGCAAGCTGAAATCCGGAACGATGAAAGTGATGCAGGAATATTATATTTTGACGTGAAAGTGGCAAAATTTCAAGATGATCGCCAGTCATGGGATACCTCATTTTGAAGTTCCTCATGAACTTCGTAACCTTAGAATGTACACTCATTATCTCTCAAAATGGCGGAATAAAAGGCTGCTGAATTTGAGCGCTTCTGTACAATGAACCACTAATAAGCCATCAATATACTCGTATATGTCGTAGCCATATCGTAAAATTGACCATTTCATGAAATGTATCATTATCTATTTGCCAGACCATGATGTGCGTTGACTAGATCAATGATAACAAATCGTTTAACGATGTTATCAACTAAACGCGCGGCTATTTCATGAAATGTTTGGTAAAACCGTAAAATATTTACAATAATTACATATAGAGGCGCGGGCAACACTTTGTCTACATTTCAACACGGCGGTCGATAACAAAGTTTTTATCCAAAGTAAAAATTCTCATAATTCGTTACCAAATGGGAAAAAAGCGGAATTAAAAGATTTTACGACTGAAAGGTATTCGATAGCTATACGGGTCACGCAAATACCGATGAAAACGTCAAAAAGTCGTAGAGTTCGGACTTGTTTCAAAGGTTAGTAATACACTCTCAAGTTGCATTATTATTCATCACTTTTTTTTAGATCAAAATCATGTATCAGCTAATTCTGTTTGTTTATTATTATACGTTTTAATATACAGCAGACGCTCGATAACGTAAACACGGGATAATGAAAACTTGCGCTAATGTAAACACAAACTTCGTTCTATAGGATCAAACGGAACGCTCGATAACGTAAACAACTCTCGGCGCACGGAAACAGCGAGACGGTAAAATGCTGAAGCCTCGATGATTTATGATGTAGAGTGTAGGGGATTCACCTCTGCGATAAAATACGACAAACTCGGTTAGTCGTATGATCGTTTAGGATACGTTTATACGTACGTATGTATTTCATTTTTGAACTTAAGTGTACGCGTTAATATATTTTACGACTATCGCATCCACATCCTATAAAAGAAAGTGTTTAAAGTTGAGTGAGAAAGTGAAAATCATAGACGAAGTTGCACTAGGTGCGGGAGTGACACAGTTAGCAAAAAAATATGGAGTATCGAAAGCAACAATCTGTAAAATTAAGCGTATAAAAACTCAAATTTTACAAAGAACGTGCAATACATTTGGAGGTCCGGGAAAAAGAAAAACTTTAAAAAATGCGAAGGCACCTAAAATGGAAAATTCCCTGTATAAGTGGTTTTCAAAATAACGGGAAAATCATGTCCCAGTTAGTGGCGAAGTACTTAAACAGAGAGCGAGACTGTTAAATGAAAAACTGAAAGAAACTGAAAATTTCGTAGCTAGTGATGGCTGGCTACAACGATTCAAAACAAGATATGGAATTCGACTGCTGTCTATATCTGGTGAAAAATTATCAGCACAACCACAATTAGTGCAACCATTCAAAGAAAAATTGATGAAAACAATTACCAGCTAGATTTAAGGATGGAACAAATTTACAACGCAGATGAAAGTGGCCTTTATTGGAAAATGTTACCAGAGAAAACCTATGCTGCATCATTTGAAAAATCTGCCCCGGGCAGAAAGCCGGAGAAACAACGAATAATGTTTCTAGCCTGCACTAATGCTAATGGTTCACACAAAATAAAGCCACTGGTAATTGGGAAAGCAAAAAATCCGCGCTCATTTAAAAATGTTAATATTCCTGTTGATTATGACTGTTCAAAAACCACTTGGATGACTAGCAGTATATTCCTGAAATGGTTCCACAGGTGCTTTGTCCCTCAGGTATGACAATCAATTATCACAAATGCTCTATTCATAATTTGAAGATGTGTTTTCAATTTGTAGGTAAAAGGTTTCCTAAAACAACAGAAGCTTCCAATAAAAGCGTTGTTACTATTGGATAATGCACCAAGTCATCCTCCCGAGCAACAACTGAGGAGCAGGGATGGGTCAATTTTCGTCATGTACATGCCGCCCAACGTAACACCGTTAATTCAACCGATGGACCAGAATATAATAAGACTCACCAAACTATACTATAGGACGTTTCTACTTTCGTCTGTCTTATCAAAGAATCCTGGAAACTTATCTGAGGCTTTAAAAAAAGTAACATTACGAGAAGCTGTTTTAGATTTACATATGGCCTGGAATGAACTTAACCAGCAAACTATTCAAAAATGTTGGAACAATCTCTTTTGTACCAATAATGAAGATGATGAAGAAGACGATGTCCCCTTAAGCGTAATTAGAGAACATTTGCGATCCAATAATGATAATGTTATTAGTGTGTCATTGGATGTTGTTGATTTATTGAAAACAGTGAATCCCAACATTGTTTGTACTCCTGCTGATATTAATTTATGGAACGAAGATAAGCAGACGAATGGTGCTGATAAGGAGGAGGATATGACAGTGAGGATGATGAGAACGATCCCATTGAAGTCAGAAGTGTAGTGACTGAAGTTTCATACATGGATATTTTAGCTCTTTGTAAATTACGGGCGCAGGCATTGGAAGACAATGCTAAGCGCAAATTTATGCAGACAAAAATTGTTAATTATTTTTCTTCTAATTAAAAAAATACTTATCGCTGTTAGAATACTTGTTTATTTTGTTATAAATAGTATGTATTAAACGTTTCTTTTAATAAATCAAATATTATATAAATCACGTTCGCTAATGTAAACATTTCGATAATGTGAACCACATTTGGATTAAATTAGTTTACATTATCGAGCGTCTGCTGTATTTTATTTTAATTCCTTCAAGTTAGTAGCGTTTATAAAAATTGTAGTTTTTGAACAATAAATACGTAACATGTTTTTGGATTATCATTAGGTATTCTATGGACACCCTATTTTACGATAAGATCAATAGTGGATAACCAAATCATTAAAGGTTGACGATACGGTCTAATTTCGTTGGCCATTTCATGAAACGCTCGATCATGTCATGAAATGATCAATTCTACGTTATACAGGATGTTTCACAACTTATCCGACAAATTTTAACCACTTATGGACTATATCGAAAGAAGTTGATTTATCAAAAGAAAAAAAAAGGATTTTTATTAAATTTTGTTTTTTTTTTTGAGAAATCAACTTCTATCGTAACAGTGCGTATGTGGTTAAAATTTGTCGGATAAGCTGTGAAACACCCTGTATAAATTTTAAAGGGGCAAATCACGGAGGGAGCGTCTAAAAAAACACGCATAGATTCTACTAACCTCACTGAATAAATACGTCCGCTACGATAGCTATAATATTAGTTGCGATTCAGTTTTTTTTCAAGTTTTTGTCTCATAAAGCGCCATTTTCGAGACACTAACATTTTCAAAGTATCTTTTTAATTATTGAAGAAACGAGGAACATAGCCATGACAAAATACAATTTCAGCTATTAAATCTGTCCAGCGTAAGAGCTTGGAATACATCCATTCCAAAGTTTATGGCATATATCCTGGAACAAAATATCAAGTCATCAGAAGTTTGACACTCATTGTCAAGGATCCGATATCAATGACCATTCAGGCCCCTAAAACATGTTTGGTATCTGGGTAGCCAGACCTGACAGACTAACAGACCGACGAGACTTTTAACTAAGAGCAAAGGTCCACCGGACCGCTCTGACGAACAATGACGAATAGTACCATTCAGGTGATTTTAAGCAGTTTTAAACATATGCGGTGCTTAACCAGTAATGTTTATTTTTGGAAGTGGAACCGTAATTATTAGATATATATTTTTAGCGTCAATTTCATGTTTATTTTTATGTTTTTGGTTCCTGTAATGTTTTTCGTTCATGTTTTAAATGCATTTTGTAAAATGTGCTTTTATACACAAGAGCATAGCATACAACTTGATCTTTATTATTGGACGTTCCTGTCATTGGGTGCCAATCTGTTCTAATAAAGCTTATTATTATATATACAGTAATGGACAAAAGTATATAGACAAATTAATATTGAGCTGTATTTCTTTTTTAACTTGTTTTATTAAAACACGAACCTGTATACATAGTTCGTTATCGCATAATACTCACTTATACATAAATCAATTCATTAGACTCTTTCAATAAAAAATTAATTGAAAAAAACTGGAACTATGAAGGACGAAAATATATAGACAAAGCAAAACAATTATAGAAAAAAGAAGCAAAGTTCATTGGATTATAGAAAACCAACCATGTTTGTGTTAATATTTTGTAGCATAACCATCATTATCAATCACCTCCTGGCATCGTCCCGGCATAGATTGTAGAAGTTTCTTGATATAAGATTCATCAATAAAAATAAAGGTATTTAGATAAATATTCATATTTGTCTATATACTTTTCTGGAAGATAATATAGGCTTATAAACTACTGATAAGGAGCCTCATAAGGACCCATTATATTTAAAAAATGTTCCAAAAAAGCGTTCTGCTGCCATATTGAAGTTTTCATCTGCCACCTGTCACTTTTTACGTCAAAATATTCATATTCATGCATAAATTTCATAGCCCAAAATGCATCTTGCTAATTTGACCTCAAAAAATAGTGGGTGGTAATTATGATATGATCAAAAATAAACGAAACAATACCTTTTTCATCGAAATCCCTACATCTCTTCTTTTTACCGGCGCCGGCTGGCAGACTATGAGCACTGCCCAATCGTGCGTCCGCATCGCCATGATTCGAGTCTTGGGCTGGACTTCCTGGTCTACTTGTTGCATCTTTTTCCTTCGCAGAATCTCTTCTATCGCGTTTAGCATCGGGGGATCGTGAACGAGATCTGCTTGCAGAGCCTCTCGCGCGGTACCTATTTGCGGAAATTAGTTTACTCCTTCAGCTCAAAGAACCATTGATTACGAGTCCCTTGCCACTTCAGTTAGCCTACTTCAAGATTTGTACCAAAATATGCCTTTATAAACTAAACATGACGAAACTAAAACAATTTATTTTCTCAAAAACATTTTAGATACACCCTAGTCGTAAAAAATACATACATACATATTTGACCTATAACTAATATAACATCTGAACAAATAAACAATGAGCTGAAATTCTTTGGGGCATAGTGTTAACCAAGTTTTGGCAAAAATTTGGTGTAAAACAATCCCATATTTCTTGAAGCTTTTGTCTCAGTTCGGTGATTGTACGAGCAGGATGTTGTCGTAGAACATTTTTCATCTCTTGCCACAAAGTTTCAATAGGCAACAGATCTGGACTGCTAGAAACCCATTTCAAAAGTGGTACATTATTTTCTTCCATCCATTTTATAGCCTTTTTTGAGGTATGGCACGCTGCAACATCTTGCTGAAACACAAAATCTTGGCCGGAAGTCAAACATTCTTCCATCACTGGTAAAAGCGATTCTTCTAAAATTGCCAAATATTTGTTTGTATCCACATTTCCATCAATAAAATGAAGTTTTCCTACTCCTTTTGATGACATACTGCCCCAGACCATAATGGATGCTGGAAATTTCACTTTTCTCTTCAGACAGTCAACATGGAATGCTTAATTTTTTTGCGAATAACTCTACTGCGACTGTCACCAAAACAAACTTCGAATCGGGCCTCATCACTCCATTGTATTGCACACCATTGTTGAGGTGTCCATTGTCTATGTTCTTTAGCCCATCTAAACGGATTTTTCTTTTACAGTGGAGTAATAGTGGCTTTTCTTTGGCCTATAAACAAGTCGTGCAACTTTAGGGTTTTTACTTCACTTTTTTTTATAAGAAAACTTACCTTGCAAGTGCTAAATCCCAGTTTGTGGGCCTCTCTGAGTTGTGGACCTCGAGATTCTCCTTCCAACAGCGTCACTCCACAGAGAACTTAATTGTAAATAATGGCACGCCTGTTTTTCACGATTATTCTTTTTAATGCTCTTCGGTCGGCATTTGTGATATTACTTTTTTTCACATATCGTGGCTTAATATTAACTGAACCAGTTACGTTATATCTTCTAACAATATTTCTCACACTGTACCGCGATAAGTCTAACAAAGTTGCAATTTCTGAGTTTGATTTCCCAGAATTAAAAAATTTAATTATCAGTAACCGAATTTTGTCACTAATAACCTTTCCTCTACCCATTTTGAAAACCTTAACTACCCAGAACTATTTTAAACGTATTCTGACAGCTGTGATTAATAAAAACAATTGTCATTGCTTTTATTTTTTACAGCCACCTATGCGTTATAGACTTATTTTGCATTGAAATGAAAATAGGTTGATATGCTGTAATTGCAACATTAGGGAGTGATAAAGTTGGTGTTTTCTACTATATATTATCAAAATATTCATTGTAATATTTTAAACCTATAACACCCTGCTACATTTTTATTATTTGTGTTTGATAAGAAAAAAACTAAGATTTCAATAGTTGGGCCAACTGAAGTGGTAAGGGGCTCGTAGTGTATTCCACCAGTACTTGTTATTAGTTTGATTTTATATTTCAATATCATATTACTTAGCTTTGTTAATATGATGTGCAAACAATATAATTATACTTATAAAAAAGAAACGAATAATTTTTAACCTTACAAAAATAAACAAACTTTCAGATAACATTAGATGATGTCCGATCATTTTTGTGTTAGGGCTCGTATTAACCGTATGTCTTACCTCCCCCGATGTGAATGCCTAGGGCTTCTGCTCCGACTTCTAGCTCTACCTAAAGGCGGTGGCGATGGGGTTCTAGAAGCTGCACCTCGTCTCCTGTCATATCTGAATCAAATCATATATAATAAATAATGGTATGATAGGAATCCTCAACATTTTAGTCTCTCAAATAATTTTTGAAGTTGATAATAACTATGTTTATTTTGTTTACAATTGGAAACATGAAGTATAGGGTCCGTTAGAAAGAACGCATGTTTTTTAAATGAGCAGTACAGGCAAAATAAGTATGAGAAAAATATTTTATTATATCAAAATACTCAGAAATACATGTCATTTTACGTACCGACGTACAGTGAACACACGATGCTCAACGTTCCATACCATCTTGCCAACTGAAACGGCACTCCTCCAACTATCCAACACGCCCTTCCCCACCGACACGGGACCTACCCACTCGATGTAGTACCCATTCGAAAAACATGCGTTCTTTCTGACGGACCCTGTACAAATACTAAGTCAAAGTGAACCTGACATTGCTGACTTGTAATCGACTAGCTGATCTAAAGCAATTTATAAACATTAGCGTTAATGCAAATTAGGTTAAACCAACGAATTCAGACTTGGTAGAAGGAATAAATATATCTGCTTGTCTCCTAAATCGCATAGTCCGTAGTCAGGATACAAGTTCATACTACAAGTATGCCAGTGTGACAGTTGTTGACATTTCGCATGAAATTCGTATTTCTCTGCGAAAAGATATCAAAGTGCGTCGGTTACATACAGTACTAGTGTCGAAAATGGTGAAAGTTTCCGTGGAATGCAGAAACTGACTAAGTCATAAGTATTAATATTGGCGTTGTGTACTTCAATGTTGGACTTTTACCTGGATAGTTCTAAGGTAATTTTGATTTAATTCAGTTCACTTCTTGTTTCTTTGAGATCTCAGTCCGAATCTAAGTTTCGTTAACAGCATTATATACCTAACAGCAACATTGAAAAATGAAAAATATTGGAGACAAACCAAATTTTTTGTTGAATACTGAAAAGGTCCAACTGAAACTTCAACTTTGAGTGTTTTCATGACATGACATTTGAATGCTCCCTTGAATTTATAGATTTAAATAATGAATTGATACACAAAACAGACACACAAGTCACATTTTGGAGACTGACCATTGATCATTAATTAGATTTTACTAATCATGTAGACAAATGGCTTACTCAATTAGCAAAGATTTGCTTTATTATAATTAGTTACAATGTAGAGAAAAGCCTTAAACAGTTACTTTGCCCTATTTGAAAGTAAAATTGTTTAAACAATTGCTAATTCTACAAAAACGATATATTAGATATATGACTAAATGCAATCCGAGCAAGTCTTTATTTGTAAATCTTAAAGTAATGACTCCCTATCATTGTTCATTTTGAAAACGGTAACTCTTATTTTAAACCTCTACTATTAGGTTTTATTTTAAAAAAATAATAATTTGGCACTGACTTGTGAATATAGTTTGAATATTGACTGAAACACTAAACTGCACAAAGGAATATACATATTTTCTCCAATTTATAACTTATAGCACATTATATGTATTAATATTTGCAGAAGAATGATTATATTAGAAATATTCAACAATGTACAATTCTACAAAAACGATATATTAGATATATGACTAAATGCAATCCGAGCAAGTCTTTATTTGTGAATCTTAAAATAATGACTCCCTATCATTGTTCATTTTGGAAACGGTAACTCTTATTTTAAACCTCTACTATTAGGTTTTATTTTAAAAAAATAATAATTTGGCACTGACTTGTGAATATAGTTTGAATATTGACTGAAACACTAAACTGCACAAAGGAATATACATATTTTCTCCAATTTATAACTTATGGCACATTATATGTATTAATATTTGCAGAAGAATGATGTTGAAGGACAGAGGAATGATTATATTAGAAATATTCAACCTATATCAAAAGTAACAAACTTACAGACAGAATTTGGATTCTAAACGTTAATCACATTACTAAGAATATAAGATACAAAATCATAATCCAAATTCACAAAGAATAAATGTATTTATTAGCTGTGCCAGACGGGTTATTTCTGTTGTCTTTGCTGAAGAGAGGTTATGTTTAAAGTCATACATTACGAATTTCCTCGTTTTTTGCGTTTTCAAAAACTTTGAGAAGCATTAGGGCAAATCAGCACAACACCCGCGTTGTGTGTAATTAAGCCACATCACAGAAAAATTACGAATGACGCAACTCATACAAAACATTTTCGCGCCGCCTCACATCTAGACGCTGATTTGTATTTTCTACTTGAAATCGTAAAATAAATTTCCATAAAATTTAAATTACTGGAAATAAAAATTAATGTGAAATGTAATAGCTTTTTTACGTTTAATAAATATTCCTGCATGTATCACCTGTTAGCTTTAATATACTCCACCAGCCAGGGATTTTCTGTTCTCATCGCTCTCTTTTTTGTAATTCAGCAAATTTGCATATTATTTAATTTCCAAGTTGAATAAGACATATATTCGAAAACGTTTATTATCGCGTCTAAAAACTGACAATGCTATTCGGTATGATCCAACATTGGATGAAGCGTTCGCCATGAAACTGAAAATGGCACGTTTGAGACGTTCCGCTAACACGGGCTTGCTTTTGTAATATTATTATACCTACAATACCCCGCCCAACAGGAATCCGGAATGCCTGGATAAAACCAAAATAGGGGAGGTAGCATCTGTCAAACTCAAAATATAACTGCATAACTTGGAAGTTTGTAATCTGACGAGACCTTGGTCTTTAGTTTTGCGAAAAAAAATCGTAGCTATCTCGATTCGTAACGAAGGTCTGTATCGAAAAAGGCAGAACGCCGAAAAATTGCTTGTCATCAGTACCTTTGAGGCCCTAAAAGTTTGTTTTTTCGAAATCTGACAGTCAGTCTCGTTTCTTACGCTCAAAATGTTTATTTTTCAATCGCTATATAATTTTTATCTTGCATATACATAGTATCAATAGGCCCGGAAAAAGCCGAAAACATGGTAACTTTGTTATGTATCGAAAAGTAGCATATAGTCGAGGAATTTAAAAAAATCGGGTCTTTTGAACGAAATGGAATAAAGAAATAAAAAAGCCGTTTTGCAAATGTCCGATGTCTGGGCTTTCTCACGCAAAAATCGTTAGGTTCGTAGCTCCGTTATATTCAGAGGAGATAGGAATCGAACATCAAACAGCACGTGTGACACCCAAAAAAGGCCAATATTTCGACGTTTGAAAATTGTTGATTCGAAACGGGTGCCGAAAATGGAAAAAACTCTATCTTCGGTATTCGTCGAAATAAATCTAAATTTGAGATATTATAAAGGGTTGTCCAATAGGGACGCAGGAAAGTAAACGTCAATTTGACATAAACGCCATCTTTGTTTTCTGTCACCGACATGTCATTTTGTTAGTTGAATGTTTACCATTGATCGCTATGGAGTCGTATTCGATTGAAGACCGCATTAAAGTTATTCAAGAGCACTACAAAAAAGGTGCAAAAATAAAAAACACGTTTCGCGCGCTTATAATAAAGTACCCAACTTGATTTGAATATCAATCTTTCTTGTTTTAATATGCGTTTACTTTCCTGCGTCCGTTTTGGACAACCTCATATATAAGCTACAATATTAGCATAATAATAGTAGTACCTAAAACAACACTTGTGAAAGACTCAATAATTTATGATGGTCTGAAAATTTACATGTCTAACTGATGGTATCAAAGGAATCAACAATTTACCATGTGTTAGTTCTACACACCTTCTTAAGATCCACATATGTAATCTGGTATAGTTTAGTTCTAAGTTAGCTTTGACATTATGGAAGATTGTATTCCTCAGACCATAAAGCATATCTATTTGAATGTGGTTAGTGGGGTTGTGTTGTGGTTACCAGTTGCTTGAGATAAGAAGGCTCCCTAACGGGTGCATAGTGCTAATAATTACATACCTTATTCTAGGTGGTGACTTGTTCCTCCAAATGCGCGGCCTATCTCTCTTCTCTCTATCTACCCGATGCTGTTCCCGTTCCCGGGACTTTTCCCGGGAACGCGATCGTTTCGTTCGGTCCCATGACCGCGATCGAGACCTGTTCCTTGACAAAGAGCGATGGCGGACTGTCACTGGCGAACGACGGAGTGGGCGAGGGGGACGGTCTTCTCGTTCCTTTTCTTTATCTTTTTCCTTGTCTTTCTCCTTATCTTTCTCCTTAATGAGAAAAACAAGATGTTTGTTATGGCAAAAGCATTGTGTGCTAATTCGATGATCGTTCCTTAATGAATGATGGTACGTGTCCAAGAGTCCACAACACATGTATCGGAATGTTTGCATTAACAGGATTAATTTAAAATAGAAAATTCCTTACCTAGAAAATCCTAGGTTTTCGTACTTAATTCGAAAAAAAGTATTTCGTACATTGAACGGCCAAATATATCTCAAGAATTTAATTTTTGTTTTGAGTACTGATAGATGTAGCCATACATTTTATGTCAAACTGTCAACATCAGAAAGTAAAGTTATTTTCCGCAAATCTAGTATACTACAACTATTTAAAACTGTAATGACTCATACGCGTGATCAACACGTGATCAGATCTCGATCCCGGCTTCCTTCCAGTACAGCCGTATAGCGTACGACATATGTCGTTTCTGTGGCTTTGCGGTGGTCAACAGCACAGACAGAGATGGAAATAATGGCTGATTGTCCTCCGCCGGTAGAACCAATGAAATCAAAGACGCGCCTCGACCGGCAGACTCATAGGCGTCGGCAACGCATTGGAACGTGTTTCGTTGAGCGATCGCGTATTGTGTGTTTTTATAAGAATTGTTGTGTGATTGTTATTGTTGTGGTTTCTGTGGTTACTGTTTTGGTTATACTTAACCATGGAGAGTATAAATGGCACGAGTGGAAGTACTGAAAGCCAGGGAACAAGTAGACGGCTTCGTAAAGCACTGAAGAGGGACGCGAAAGAAATCGTGCTCAACGTGTTCAATTATCTGAACAGAACTATGTCGCAGGGAGATGCACTCGCGCGTTGTGAAAGTATGACAGGCGTTCCAAAGTGGACCATTCGAAGGGTGGTGCATGAAAAGAAGAAAACTGGAGCTACTACTGATCCAAAGTTTAATTTGAAGGGACGAAAGGCCGTTAAATTGGATGGCGATAGCAAAATGGCGTTAAGGCGAACCGTACATTCATTCTTCTTTAGGAATGAGATACCAACCCTCAAGGCTGTACATGCAGCGATCAAGGAAAATGAAATTATACCCCAAATGAGCGTCGAGGTAATGAGGAAATCCCTGCACGAAATTAATTTTCGTTACGAAACGCGTAATCGGAAGTCAGTATTAGAATCAGAATATAGGCGACAAAGCAGAAAAATCTATTATTTGGACGAGACATGGGTAAATGCAGGTCACACAGTTAAAAAAACCTGGATAGTCAAAAACGTAGTGAGTAACCGACAAGCAAGAATTGAAGGTTTGTCAACAGGTCTTCGTGGATCGTCAGGGAAAGGTCAAAGATTGATCGTAATTCATATTGGTAGCGATAGTGGCTTTTTAGAAGAGTGTGACTTGATTTTCGTCTCTAAGAAAGGAGGTGATTACCATGACGAAATGAATGCCAGCTGCTTCGAGAGCTGGTTTCGAGGGGTGCTTCAGCGAGTTGAGCCCAACTCTGTGATCGTCATGGATAATGCTTCCTACCATAGTCGTCGACCGAACGTGTACCGACTATGGGATCTCGAAAAAGTGACATGCAGCAATGGTTGCGCGAAAAAGGAATCCCGTTTGACGATTCATGTGTGAAAGCGGAATTGTATGAAAAAATTAAACAGCACAAACCTGCGAACATTAGTTACGTGACTGATGAGATGGCCCGTCAATGTGGTGTCACTGTGCTGCGGTTACCGCCCTACCACTGTGAACTGAACCCAATAGAGCTCATCTGGGCTCAAGTGAAGGGTTATATTGCGCGCCATAACACAACCTTTAAATTACCAGACGTTAAGGTTTTACTTGAGACTTCCATACAGCTAGTAACGCCCGAAGCTTGGCAGAATGCTATCCGTCATGTTGTGAAGGAAGAAACAAAAATGTGGCAGCTTGACCACCACATCGACACCATCATAGAGCTAGTTATAGTCAATTTCAACGAAGAAAGCGATAGCGACAGTTTATTATTGTCAGATGTAAGCGACGATGAATAAAGGTAATTCCCAAATTTTTTACTTACAATATGTTTCAAGCCACTCTTTATTAAGCATGTGACAAATCTAGTTCACCCATTTAAACATTCATACCCCGCCTATGAACAGCCGACTACTGGTAGTTAAGTGATGTTCACGTGAACATCGATGAGTCATTACAGTTTTAGATAGTTATAGTATAGAAGCCTAATTTCCATAGACAATTAGGTCTCATGTTAAGAAGATGTGGAAAAACTTATCAAATCATCCTGGTCGTCAACATTGGAATTATACTACGAACTCACAGCAAAACTGGTTTATAAGTTGTTCCATCTCACTATTTACTGGATTTTTAAATTTCTAACATCCTCTTGAACATTTGGGCCTTACAAGGAATGAAGCCACAAGGCCATCTGCTCTTAATTTTCTTTATTCCATTTTGAAGGTTACTCGCGGCCCGGCCGGCCGGCTGATCAGTAGCACGACACTCTGACCAACGCGGCCAACCGAGGCCCCAATTTTAAAGGTTATTGTCACATTCGATATAATAAATAATAACCTAGTAACCTAGCGCCTTTATTGTTCGTCATATTTGTGAATGACATAGTTAATGCTGTTGGCGAGAATTGTTTACACATTGTCTTACACTTTGAAGAAAAATCCTCTGTTATTTGACTATACCTTCTATTCAGAGGACTTCAACTTTATGTGACTTAGGCGTGACACTTGTCTCCCAACTAACATTCGTCAAACACATTGACAGCAAAATTTCCGAGGCAAACCGCATGTACGGCTTTATTGTAAGGAACTGCCGTGACTTCACTCAGAGTACCACCTTGAAGTTGCTGTATTATGCATATGTTAGGTCAAAGCTTGAGTATGCATTGCTAATTTGGAATCCGCATCATATTATTCATATAAGTAGGCTTGAATGTGTTCAAAGACGTTTCTTAAAATATTTGTCACTGAAAGTGGATGGCGTTTACCCGCCCATAGGTATACCTCATGATTCCTGACTTGAAAAACATCTAATCAGCAGTCTTGAAGCAAGGCGCACTTGCCAGTCAGTGATTTTTCTGTTTAAATTGATCAATAATGCTAGTGATGATTTAGCTTTCTTGGGTCAGTTATCATTTAACGTACCTAGGCTGACATCCCGTCAAAACGTTACGTTTTATCTACCTGCGGCATGGACAAATTATTTACATTATTCCCCTTTGCATGTGATGTGTAGGAATTACAATTCTGCAAGTAACTGGATTGATATATTTAACTGCAGAATTGCAGACATAAAAAATACCATTAAGTAACCAGCATGTATCTTTTACACTTTGTAGTCTATTACCTATTATTGTCTTTTATATCCATGTTGTGTTCTGTGTTTCCTCACCTTGTAATTGGTATTTACTGTAGGGTATTGTAATGAATAAAATAAAATTTGTAAAGTAAGTTACAGTATATTGGACTTTCTGGCATTCCTCTAAAGTTTTTTTAAACTTACGTAACTAATAATTGTAAACAGAAGGTGAAGACAGTTAGAGGTGTCTCATCTTCTGTGGCCATTCCTTCAGGTGCCCTCAGTGGTCTGTTTTAGGTCCTTTGCTGTATTTGATACATACTTTTGATCTACATTCATGCATGAAACATTGTGCTATGCTACACAAACTTATTTTGACTTGTCTCATCTGGATGAAGTGTCATATAAAGTGAATTATGATCTTGCCAAAGTAAATGATTTTTGTAAGAGACACATGTTGAAGATTAATCTGTAAAAGATTACTTGCATGCTTTTTTGTCCTGAGCACTTGTCCTAAGGGACAGGATTGCATTGACCATCAACAATGAGCTCATTCCTATCATGGAACAAGTAAAAAATCTTGGTATCATTTTCAACTTGACAAATATGTGAGTCATGTATTGAAAATCATGTACATCAAATAAGACTTGTATATGCTAACAGATTCATTTTGAACTTTAAAACGCGTAAAGTTTGAAAATGTCCAGCCTTAACTATGCCTTAATTTTATATCATCCCTGTCTTGACTCGATGAATTGGTGTGGAACCCAAAGAATGCAAAACCACTGCTCTAAGAGCAAGGAGTTGAAATGGCTGGAAATGGATCAACAATTTGAATGTAATCTTAATGTATTTGTACAATTGAATAATAGGTTCTAAAAAGCCTATTTATCTCCATAGTAAATTGATAACTAGGAATCATAAATCTTAGAGATCTGAGGCATAATAATAACCTCACAATGCCTCTGCGCTACACTGCATTGTTTCACTTTCATGGCAGTGACATTGTACAACCTAACTGACCCTGCCTGGAGAAGCAAAAGTGTTGTAACATTCAGGAAGCTGGTTAAAGATCAGCTGTTGTGATTAGATATTATGATCTTTCCATTGTTTTTTTTTTGTTTTCTTCCATTCATTATTTCTCATTTGGTTCCTTTTTGGCAAGCCAACATAGTGTGGATTTGTCAATTGAATAAGTTTTTTTCTCTTTTTCACTCAGTAGGGTTGAGTCTAAGAGTAGCCAACTGGCTTAATCTCACCCTGTTGTGATTCCAATAAAGACATTTTATCATTATTATTATAGATAAGATTGCGGCATAATCTTATCTAAGTGGATACACTGGATGCACTACCAAATATAGATTTCCTTGGTACAAATAGCCCAATGTGGACTGATGGGCACGTACATTTAGAGAGAAAATGAGGAACTATATTTAATTATCCTTACCGAATCTGAATTTTTCCTATTTTCTAATCGATTTTCCCTATCCCTTTTAATTTCCTGCTCCTTCTTTGCATTTCCATTGACTGCTTCATTAAGATTAGGCAACTCACTGGGCTGTATGATAACCTTGGATTCTTTGACAGGTTCCTTCACCTTGCCCATGTTAGGATTTGGAGGATTTGCATTGGGGACTATTGGTACATTCACATAATCTTTTGTAGTTAAAGTTTGAAATACTAGGTCCACAAAGGACTCAGTTTCTGAAAAAAAAAAAAAACAATAAATTAGGTCAAAACAGCTGTTAAAATTTAACAAATAAGTTGCTTGTCTAATCATAAATCTGTTCAAATGTAATTTCAACAACATTATTAAATTATATATAAAAAACATCCTAATTATTCTTCAGAAGATGGCATAAGAAACATGTTTAGATAGAATGGATTCAAAGAAATAAGGATAAAAAGATGCTATTCTAAATATAATTGCAATAAATACCATATACGGTTCATGGAATATCAACAACTGTCATAGAGCATGAATCAAAATATTTAAAATCAATATGTAAATAATGAAACTGTACCTGCTTCTAGAAACACATCTAGCTGTGCAATCATGCTCTTCTTCAGCTCATCTTCAGTCTTGTCTTTCTTGATCAGTGCCAAAACATATTTTGCTAGAGCCGCTGGATCTGCCTCACACCTATACAAATACAATATGATGTATAATAATTAAAAAAATATAAATATTGAAGCTAAATTAAATAAAAAACTTATAAACACTCTTGTTGAGTAAAATAGTGTGAGTATAGTTTGTAAGGAAGTCCTGAAAATATAGCATTGAAAATTGTTCTTCCTCAACTCCTGAAAAACATTGTGTTATTGTAAAACGGTAGTAGCTAATTAGGGTTTCATATGGCGGTGTTCATAGCTATATTTCTTTCAGATAAAAAGGGATAGACTAAGTAGTAGTTCTAATGCAAGATGCTAGTTTTTCATCCTGTATAATCCTGAAATATTTGTAATTCTGATCCTTTAGGTACACAATGTACATTTTCACACCAACAGTTTTGTTTCAATATTGTACCTATCTGCTCACAACCATCACAATATCAAAAAAATTGGGAACATACAAACTTGATTCAATGATCTGTAATGATATGCAGGGATTTCTTATCAGAAATACTATATCAGAGATATTGGATCCACTATAATTATAAATTCTACAAAAATAACACAATTTTTCTCATGTGGGGTACCAATTTGTTATATTTTTAGAAATTGAGTGGAACACTTTTAGGACCTATATGGGTCTATAGGTTGTCACAAAGTTTTTTATAAGAACTTATTGAATTTTCGAGTGTATGTGTAAATACAGTATTTTGAAAAAAAATGTTTGGTTTAAAATGATCTAAGACTATTCTCTACAAGTTTTAATTGAAAAAACACTGTAATCTGGATCTTCTATGAGTAACAGTACTCTAGTAATTCTTAAAAGATCAAATAGTTATTAGATGAGTGAAATATTCTCTAATAGTGTGCTTATTTGTGAAACTGAATGTAGGGAATGCTTATAAATTTGAACAAAACCAACTATTCGCGATCCATACTGAAACGACTGATATTTTTGGGTATCTATTGAGAATTGTGTTGTTAGACTCCAGGAAAACGACTTTTGCATGACTTTCGACAGTATTTGCCTCAAGTTTCCATTTTCCCCCTAATTTATTAATTTTGGCCACCTTATGAAGACGCCCAAATTTGAGGTTATATTAACATCAGTTTTAAGAACGTGTGTGGGGCAATTTTATAATAATGCGTCCAAATTCAGTTTAGATACGAGTATATGATATATGTAGTGCTTATTTAATGGGTTCGTTACACAATTCCTAAATTTTAAGGGCCCACTTACATAGGTTTCAAAACAGCTGTTAGCCACGTCTTGAAAGCTTCTACGTGCTCCACAATCATTTTCACTATATTAACAAACCGTATCGCATCGAATTCACAGGAAATATCACAATTATTATGGGTCTTTGGGGGTAATTTTCCTAAAAATCCTGTAAAAAAATTGTGGACAAACGCTAATCAACCTTTTACGAAGTAGACGTAATGAATGTCACCAACGCAACGGAGAAAAAGTCACTAAAAATACAACTGGTACCTCCAACCGTCAACAAAAATGTTACTAAAAATAGTTGGAAATATAAAATGAGAATGATTTATTTATAACTTGTTTTTCCAACGAAAATAAAAATCTTCATGTGGGACACAGATAGGTACATACCTAAGTGCAAAGCGAGGATTGTTTACATTATATGACCTACGTAATAATTCTAACTCGTAAGGCGCTTCCAAGCTTCTGAGTTTTCAGTGAAATAATTTTGGGTTTTAAACATACAGAGAAAGTTTTAAACACATTGCCAAGCAATGATAGAATCAATGCGTTTTATTTGGAAGTCTCCTGGGCATTAGTATTTTTTCTGCTGGTTTCTGCAATCATTGTAGTCCGCCACTGTCACTAGCTCTAGCATTTACATATTTACAAAACATACTATCTGTAATGTTGGTTGCGTTCTGTGATGTTGGTTGCGTTCTGTAATGTTGGTTGCGGTCCGCCAGTGTCACTAGCTCTAGCATTTACAAAACATACTATCCGTAATGTTGGTTGCGCTCTTGTAATGCTCGTTACGGTCCGCCACTGTCACTAGCTCTAGTAGCATTTACGAAACATACTCTTTGTAATGTTGGTTGCGTTCTGTGATGTTCGTTGTGGTCCGCCACTGTCACTAGCTCTAGCATGTACAAAAAATTACTATCTGTAATGTTGGTTGCGTTCTGTGATGTTGGCTGCGCTCTGTAATGTTGGTTGCGGTCCGCCACTGTCACTAGCTCTAGCATTTTTACAAAAAATACTCTCTGCAATGTTGGTTGCCTTCTGTAATGTTTGTTGCAGCAAGGCATCGAATTTAATAATATCACCGACGTATTTTCTTAGAATTTGAAGTACTGCAAAAAATAGGTCTGTCCGGCGCGCTCAACCATTCTATAATAGGTACGTTTTTTGTGTCGCTAAAAACGATTAATAAAAAATCTCCAGCTCTGGCAGCTTGTTTTCTAGGTAAATCGGGTGCTTATACATATTCTGAATCAGCTCTAGGATCCATTACCGATTTTTCATCCCAAATCGGGTCCGATGGCACTTACGAATTTTTTCACTGTGATACTTATACAGGGTAATTCACAAGTCGTAAATAAAAATGAAAAATTATACACAGGATCGCATTTTAAGGGGGTCTTCTATGAAAATAGAAATAGTTGTACTGCGACGATAAACTCGCGCAAAAAAATGTTAGCGACGTAAAATTTACGATGGTTAGGATTCCAGGGTTAAAAAGATACGGATTGTTGAAGTTTAAAGGCAAAAAACAATTTTTTAATACCTTCAAAACCGTCAACTGGAATGAACTAGAATTTGGTATGTGGATATGGATATACCTAAGTATTGTCCACATTTAAAAGTCTTTACTTAGCATTAACGTTACTGCAAGTGCATAATCAAAATGCAGTTTATAGTGATTTGATTTTGTGGTCAGATGAATCGCTTGAAATCTCTGGTCCGGCATTTTCAATGGCCAACTATTTATGCACGTATTGCCACAACGTTTAAATACAAACTCTAGAGAATTACATAGAAAATGTAGTAGATGATGAACAATGCACTCTAGAAAAAAAAACAGAAGAATAATTCTTAGTGACAAATTGAAGGTAAAATTCGAAAAATTGCGCGTTTCGAAAGGAAAAGAGTGGCGTACTATTTTTATTTGGAAAAATAATGACACTTAACCCCTGTATCTACGCCACTGGTGCACGTCAATTTTAAGTAGAGACTTTTGAATGTTGACAATACGTAGGTTAAATCCACATATAAAATTTTAGTTCATCCAGTTGACGGTTTTGAAGATATTGAAACAATTGTTTTTTATTTTTAAACTTCAACACCCCGTATCTTTTTAATGAAGTCCTAGAGGGAAAAATGTTACATAGAAGACCCCCTTAAAATACAGTCCTGTGTATGGCGTTTCATTTTTAGTCACGACTTGTGAATCACCCTGTATTCAGCGCCCCAAATTACCTTGTTATACAAAGCTTCGATAGCCATTGATAGGAAAAATGGATTTTTAGCATCCAAAAGTTGCAAAAACGTATAGTTTTGCAATTTTGTACGATAGAGATCATTTGAACCGCATTTTAATTTTTACTATATACTATATAGTGCAAAGCTGCAAAAAATGGTCAGTCGGGAGCGCGAGCCCTACAACGTTTTTTGGGTCGCGGCATCCGAATCTGGGGCCTATTCAGTCCGAAAATGCCAAGACCACTCGTAATAAAAAATACTCCCACAACTCTCCCGGCATCTATGCAGTAGAACGTTAATGACTGAACACTTTTATAAATTCCCAGTTATCGGTTTGTTCGTACAGGGTTGCCGACCGTACAGTTTTAATTCCAGATTTACAGTTTTTCAAAAATCTTTCATGTTTCCAGTTCGGGCCCTCAATTCTACAGTTTTCCATCTGTTTTGTTTACTACGAAGTCGGAAATCCATATAATAACTTGGCCTTAGTAAAATCTACCACTTGCCAGATCAAATTATACATAAAATTTACTTTGAATCAAATTCCTTTCGCAGTATCTACAGGGTGTCCGGTAAATAGTACGACAAAAAATAGGGACGATAGGCGAAGGGCAGATCTACAACATACCAAACAATGGCCCTAGTAAAAGTTTCACTGTTTTTGAGATATTATTTTTTTTGTCTTGTTCGAAAATTTTCCTCTTTAAATCTATCTTTTGTTGCTGTGGCCAGGAATAACAGGATATCTGTTTGGTTTTTTGCAAAATATTCTCGGATAGTTGGTATGCTATTCGAAATATCATTTTCCACAAGTACAAGTAGGTAAACTTGACAAACTGATTTCTTCTTCGTAGTTTTGATTATAGAAAACTATTTTACTCATCTTTGGTATTCAGCAATGAAATAAAAATGTACTAGAGTGCTACTGCAAAGTACTGCGATAAATTAGCTGCTTAATCAGGACTTCAGGAAAGTAAAATAATGCTACCGTTGTTAGAAAATTGGAAAATGAAAAAAAATTATATCTCAAAAATAGTTAAACCCTTACTAGGGTCATTTGGTATGTTGTAGATCTGCCTTTCGCATACTTTCCCCATTTTTTTGTCGTATCATTTACCGGACTCTGTATAGCGGAACAATGTCCAAAAAAGGACAGCTGATCATGCATGAAAAAAAAACAAATCCTTTTTGAGTGGTTGTGGTTCTGGTTAAGCCTTGAGTGAATTTGGAAAAATATGATTGGGAGTCCTGTCATTTTCATGTCACTCAAAGCCAACCAGAACCACAACCGCTCAAGAATGCTTAAGCAATGCAAAAACTGTCACTTTCTGACCTTGGTCCGCAATAGGTACTCGTGAAAAATACTGTAAATGGAGGGCTGTACATTCAGTTTTTTAAATAATATTCTACAGTTATCTACAGTTTTTTTTTCAAGCTCACATACAGTTATTCTCTCGGATAGGGTTGGCAACGCTGATAGTTGGTGACCTGTCGGTGGCTGTGTCTGGGATCCGGTCATGTGAATTTAGTCTATTTAGGGTAGCAGAATGAGCGGAATTTGTGGGATCCTGGACACGGTCATTGACAGGTGATGACACAGGGCTTTAATAGGCTTTTATGAAAAAAAAAACTTTTACTATATAAATATATTCAATAACTATTTGATCTTAAATTACATGATCATTGATAGGATAACTTTGATTTTCATCTTCTCTCATTAGGGGAATATGGTTTCTGGTGACTGCATTCGCACTTGGGCGAGGGAAACCCCTAGAAAACCTCAGCCGTCACTGCTCAGATTAATTGTATCAGGTGAAGAAAAATCAAGTCGTTCCACAATTCTGGATTCTTTTGTACAATCGAAAATCTATAATCCACCAGCATGCCACAGTTATTTTCCTAAAAAGAAGTAGCATTGAAGTAACGGTTTATACGAGGGTCATTTTTTAAGTAAGAACCGTTTTGCAATCGAGTCGGAGAAATTTTACTTATGAGTGTAAATTGTATCACAAGCTAAAATATGAACTTTTTTTAATTTTTCTAACATAGTCACCATAAAGATTCAAACACAAGTCAAGTCGTGGCACCAGTTTCTGGTTACTGTAGCATCTGAAACTTATCCTGTGGTTTTCATGTCGATAATCCCCCATATTTCTCTAATAATTCTTCATTGTAAACGTTTACGAAACAACAATGACATTGACAATAGATTTTATTTATTATATTATCTTCCAGGTGACACTTTGTTAGTTTTTTCTTTCATTTTCATATCCCTACACAGTGTGTTACTACACTAGTTCCAACATGCTGAGATTGGGCGAAACGATCATTTGAAATTTTAAGATGGCACCACGCAAAACCAGCATAGCTCAGGACCGCGTGGGGGTAGCCACTCCCTCTCCCAAAAGGGACGTCCAGCCCTGCAAAACGACAAGCGAGCAGTTTTTTTTTTTAATTCCAGATACGTTACCCTCGTCCATAGTCCCGAAGACGCCAAAAGCCCCCTAAAAGAATGCGAAAACCAACCCAGCACTGTTGTCGTAACACACTGGTTAATTGTTATGCAATCTTCGGCTAACATGTTGCAACCTCAAAATTAGCACTAAGCGAACACGGATGGGAAATAGGACAAAGTATAAAATGGAATAAAGTCTCAATACTATTCAAAGATGATAACAATTACAGAAGGCATGTAAAAGAATCAGCCTAAATAAATTTAACAATTATTGTCTTTCTAGTTCTTCTGTGACCCAATTTGGTCGAAGGAAAGACCTAATTGATATTCTCCAACCAAACTAATTGATCATGAGTTTTTTATAGCGGCGTAGTGAGAGACTGACCAAGAGTGTCCGAGATTTAACGGTCTTCACGTTACAGGATGCGCAATTGGTTCTTACTTTAAAAACGCCCCTCGAAATTCACTGACATCTTTCTGATAAGTTGTTAGAAAAATAAAATTTGGTGGAAGCTTTCTTCTATGGCGCCGCTGCTTTTTCCAATAGATTTCAGAACTTATATTTCCTGGTAAGCTTGACTTATCGGAAAAGAAGTCAGTGAAACATGAAGAATAAATGAGTTCAAGATAATGTTAAAAATACCTGTTCATTATTTCGATGATCAATTCAATTGATATTCATATAACTTTTTGCCTCATCGTGTTAGTTTCCCAAATATGTCACTTAATTTTTTCTTAATTTCTTCAGAAGCTGCATGAAAATTGTGAACATTTTTATAAACTTTTGCTTGGAACCTGACCGTATTTCGTAAAACTTCATCGATATATTGACAGTAGACCATAATACTATTATCCACAGGTTTATCTACAAAGAGAGTTCACATATGTAAGTACTCGCAGTTAAATAACACCTCCGCGTATTTTGAGACATCAAGTAGGTTGACTCTGTATTCATTTAAGTATAGTTTGAGTGGAAAGATTTTGGTCTTCTTAAGGTAGGCTTAGAAAATACATCTCTTGGGAACGTTTCCAATATCCTTAACAGTTTTATATATACTTCAGTGGTTCGTGAAGTTCAAAACCAACCTTCTTGATGCCATACTTTCCAATCCTTACCCTGTAAAAGTTTTGATGTTTGCTTGATCGCTGTTTTCCTGCATTGCAGCATACTATAAATCGGAACTTAAATCATTCTTATCAAGTTTCTATTGTTCCTGTTCAACCTCTATCTTTACCCATCAACATTCATCCAGCTATCCAGGCAGAATATTTTTTGAAACAGCTGTATATCATTATCATCAATATTCATTATATCACGTTTATCATGCTCGGAAGTGTCTATAACTGTGCTATTCCTGAAATTGGGAATGTCCTCTCTCCAAACCTTGATAAAAATATTTGGGCTATGATTTTGAAAGGAAACCTGAAAGTTTTCAAATAACAGTTCTGTAAAATATGTAAAAACACGAAATGAGCAATCACATTTTAGCTACAAATAGACATAATCCTAAAATATGTACCTATTAGAAATAGTAAATACCAAATGTAAGCTAAAATTAAAATTATAATATATTATTATCATCAATATTTATCATTGTTCATCACCATTCCTGAAATACAGAATGTCCTCACTCTCACCTAAAAGCTGAAACAAACTAAGAAAAATACTTGCGCTACGATTTTAAAGCACAAATAATCATAGGCAACATACATATGAAATAAGAATTGTGGAAATCCATTGTGCCTGTAAATACATATATTTTCTCAATATGGTGTTTTATCCAGCTGGCGATAGTAAAATAGAAATAATGAATACCAGATATAATTAAAGCTTACAAACCAGCTTGCATGCTGGGACATCTTGCCTCATACCTGTAATGATCTACTACTAGCCCTACTATCACTAACTATCACCAGAACTACTACTATTGCTACTACTACCACTACTACCTTCTTACTACTACCACTACTACCTTCTTATCTGGTTACTTAGCATCTACGGACAAACTGAAGTTTTCACATATTTCATCCCTCAGAAACACTGGAGGATTTCACGTCAGCCACTTGTTTTGCAAGAAGTCTCTCCGAAAATGATTAACCACACAAAAATACCTCTTCATTATTTCAATTATCAATTCAGTTTCAGTTTAGAAGCTTTTGCTTGTAACCTGGCTGTGAATATTTCGTAAAGCTTCATCAATATATTGACAGTAGATCATACTACTATATATTATCCACAGGTTTATCTAAAAAGAGAGTTCACATAAGTACTCCCATTTAAATAATACCTTTGCGTATTCTGAAACATCAAGTAGGTTGACTCTTTATTTCATAGATAATAGCATAAATATGAGTATAGATTGAGTGGAAATCTTTTAGTCTAGTTTTGAAGATATATCTCTTGGGAACGATTCCAAGATCCTCAACCTATCTAGGCTTCAGTGGTTCGTGAAGTTCAAAACCAATCTTCTTGATGCCAATGCTTACCCTGTAAAAATGTTGATGTTTGTTTGATTGCTGTCTTCTTATATTGTAGCATACTATAAATCGGGACTTTAATTATTCTTAACATTCTTCTGTTGTTCCTATTCAACCTCTATCTTTATCCATCAACATTAATCCAGCTATCCAAGCAGGACATTTTTTGAAACAGCTGCCTGTACAAATCATTATCATCAATATTCATTATATCACGCTTATCATGCTCGGGAATGTCTATAACTTGTGCCATTTCTGAAATTGGGAGTGTCCTGTCTCCAAAGTTTGATAAAAATATTTGGGCTATGATTCTGAAAGGAAGCCTGAACATTTTCGGACATGTGTTCTGTAAAATATGTAAAAATAAGAAATATCTCTTAGCTAAAAATAGATGTTCATAAAATATGTACCTAATAGAAATAAAAAATACCAAATGTAATTTAAAATTATGTCATTATCATCAATATTTAGCATAGTTCGTCACCATTCCTGAACTACAGAATGTCCTCACTCTCACCTAAAAGCTCAAAAAAGTAAGAAAAACACGCGCTACGATTTTAAAGCATAAATAATCACAGATAACAGTCCTATGAAATACACCATGTTATGATATTTAGCAGTATTCTTTCAAATTTTGGATCCCTGTTTAACAGCTCGGCCATGGACCCAGGGGAATGCCTTCCTTAACTCTTCCCTCTCTGCAAGGACATGATAACAAGTTGTCTGTATCCCTCGACGGGCCGCCACATCGCAGAGTGCCCAAAAAAATTCCCTAACATTTCCCTAGCTACTCGCTACTCCCGATCACTTTATTGAAGTTTTCTGACGCAAACCTTTTTCTTGAAGCTTATGTATTATATGACGATTACGATTCTCTGTACTTTCACTTAAAGTTTGCAACAGCTTTATTTTTCCTAACTTTTCAACTGAACTGACGCTTTTTCCTAGTGGTCCCTAACTATCTAAATGGGGCACCCTGCCTGGGCGACGGTAGTTTGTAGAGTCGTCCGCCACATTTGTCAACCATGCTCGCTCTTCGCATTGGGCCAAATTAGTCAGTAGCGACAAGCGAGATAGATCGATGAAGTCGATCGATCTTACAAGTCAAGATCCGGCTCCCCAAAGTCTTCTTCCAACCCCGAAAAAGACAATGGTTCTACAGACCAAAAAAGCCTTCCGCCCTTGCATCGCTTGTTGTGTCCAGCTATCCTAAGGTAGTGTAGAAACCGAAGGAACATTGAAGATGCCCCTTCCAATTCTATCCTGTCGCTCATGGACCTAAATTTTCTCGAAGCTATGTGCAATGCCCCGATAAATTCAAGACATAATCGACAGCCTACCGAGGATAAAAGGGCTAGTCAACCTCTTTCGCAAAATGTCTCAATTCACACTAACCAACCGGCTGTATAAGGGAGTTGGACCATATACAACCAGTAGGTTCATCAATCTCACAGCTCTTGCTCTGTTCGGCTGAAAACCCTTCACCAATAAGAAAACCCTAAATGCACTTACATTTCAGTGAGCTGCTCTTATTCCTGTGCCCCTGCTAGTTCTGCGCAAGGGGAGAATGAGTGTCTGCATCCCTCGACGTGCCACCACATCGCAGAGTGCCAAAAAAAAATTCCCTAACATTTCCCTAGCTACTCGCTACTCCCGATCACTTTATTGAAGTTTTCTGATGCAAACCTTTCTCTTAAAGCTTAACATATGTATTATATGACGATTACGATTCTCTGTACTTTTACTTAAAGTTTGCAACAGCTTTATTTTGCCTAACTTTTCAACTGAACTGACGCTTTTTCCTAGTGGTCCCTAACTATCTAAATTGGGCACCCTGCCTGGGCGACGGCAGTTTGTAGAGTCGTCCGCCACATTTGTCAACCATGCTCGCTCTTCGCATTGGGCCAAATTAGTCAGTAGCGACAAGCGAGATAGATCGATGAAGTCGATCGATCTTACAAGTCAAGATCCGGCTCCCCAAAGTCTTCTTCCAACCCCGAAAAAGACAATGGTTCTACAGACCAAAAAAGCCCTCCGCCCTTTCATCGCTTGTTGTGTCCAGCTATCCTAAGGTAGTGTAGAAACCGAAGGAACATTGAAGATGCCCCTTCCAATTCTATCCTGTCGCTCATGGACCTAAATTTTCTCGAAGCTATGTGCAATGCCCCGATAAATTCAAGACATAATCGACAGCCTACCGAGGATAAAAGGGCTAGTCAACCTCTTTCGCAAAATGTCTCAATTCACACTAACAAACCGGTTGTATAAGCAAGTTGGACCTTATACAATCAGTAGGTTTATCAATCTCACAGCTCTCGCTCTGTTCGGCTGAAAACCCTGCACCAATACGAAAACCCTAAGTGCACTTACATTTCAGCAAACTGCTCTAGTCCCTGCAACAAGTAGAAACAGCATGAGTATACAAGTACTACGTTATTGAAGATCTCACTCTTACAATTCGGGGCGAAGGGCGGATGGAACAATTCTAGCGTTTCGGCATGCGAACGGCGATAAAAGCTGTTTCATGTCAAAAAAAGTTACGCTAGTACGATTTCCGTAATTTGTTTTCATTGTACGGTACGCATATTTTCTAATATCTGGTTAAATAAATGAATATAATTCAAATAGTTCACTATAACATATTGACACCTTTCATAAAAGCATGGTTAGCACGCACACACTGTGTAAGCAGTCCGTGGAGGTCGTGTTACTAACAATGAGCTACTGCCAATAACTTAAAATATGACGAAAAATTGCCGTTAGACCATAAACAATCACCCTATTTTCTTATATTTGTATCCTTGTCCTTACGGAGCATTTTTGCAAAAGGAAAATTTCCAAATATTTCAGAAACCACTATCTTACAGTGTAAATTGAAAATACAGGTGGTTCCATGAAAAATACTTTTGGGTTTTTTAAAGCCTAATGTTTACTATGTACTCTTTTTTACAACCCTGTTTATCAATTATCCTAATATCGAATGAAGTTACACCGCGTGACAACAACACAAATATAATAACATTGTCTTGCGATACGTTACGTACTCAAAAATTTTATTCGCCCTGTAACGTAGTCCCTGATTTTGTAGTGAATATACTGCCAAAAGAAAATATTTCCGCTCAGTGAATTAAAGAGTGATGGGTAATAGTAGTAGTAGTAGTAGAAACATTTATTTAGCACATTTGGCTACATAAACAGAACAATTGTAAACAACAGAACTAGTAAATTCAAGCCATATGGTGTATGATGTAAATGCTGGGCAACCTATAATTGTAGATTTAACAAGTGATTTCTCAATTTTACTTTAAATTTTGTCAAAGTTTTCTGGTCTTTTATCTCCGAGTATAATTTATTATATTCAATCAACCCTTGATGGAATACAGATTTGTAGCATATGTTATACTTTTTGGTCATTAAATGGAAGTCATCTTTATTTCTGGTATTATGTAAATGATGGTCGACATTTGATGATGTTAAATTAGTTAGACTTGATGGAAATATATTATTTTTTACTTTATAAATTAATTATACAAGATATTTGATAAAATTTTTTACATTGAGCCATTTTAATTTGCTAAGCATTTGCCTAATTGGAGTATATTTATCTTTATTTAGTATTATTCTCATACACTTATTTTGTAAAATTTGCAGTCTTTCAAAAATGGAATTATTTGCTAAATATAGAATAGTCGAACAGTACAAGAAATTTGGAAGAATGATGGTATTATAGATAATTTTTCTGTTATATGAACTCAGACATCCAGAAACTCTCGATAAATATCCCACTTTACTACTAATCTTATTTATAACTTTTTCATAATGAATATCAAAAATTAATCGAGAGTCAACAAAAACTCCCAGGTATTTAAAATTTTCTACGAATTCAATATCTTCACCATCAATATTCAGTTGAACATTTGTACATTGTTTTTTTCCGATTAACAAGGCTTTCGTTTTACTTGCATTTAATTTTAGTCTGTTAGATGCTAACCATTTTGAGACAAGCTTCAAGTCTTCAATCATATAAGAGATACCAGACTGAATATTTTTAGTACTTATATAAATCATAGTGTCATCGGCGAAAATTTGAATTTTGCATTTTTTGACTATGGC